TTTGAATGCCACGTTAACGCCGTTTTTCTTAAGACTATTAGCTATTTTTTCCGATATGGGGCCTAAGTAGGTCAAACTACCCACATACCGCCGGACACTTTGAGATCGAACCGCGTACAAAGAATTGCGAACAACATGCTTTTGTTTCTTTTTAATAAGATTATCAACGAGACTTTTTGAAAAACCGTTAGAGACCGCAATTTGATAAATTGTATTAAGTTCTTTTAAATAATTTTCTTTATTTAATGGAACAGTGGATAGACGGTTAATGTAACAATAAAAAGCGGCTAATTTATGTTGCCATGGATGACACGATGATGCGGGGATGACCGTGTCGGTATGAGTTGGCTTTCGATAAATTTGAAAAGCATGTAACGACTCTTTTCTTGTTATTGTTAAATCAAGGAAATTAAGGGAGCCATCTTGTTCCAATTCAAGCTTAAATTTAATTTTTTCGTGGACCAGCAAATAATTATGCGACATAATTATTTGCTGGACAGGCACAAGGAGACAACTGGATGTTTTCCTTAACCTTTTGAGCGCCACGCCAAAAACTCACTACCGTGTCCTGTACGCCAAAGCGAAAAGTAAACAAAAATACCTACGAAAAAAACAGTGCTGCCAAGAGTTGATATATCGATAACACAAAATAACTTGTTTTTGTTGGTTTTTTATACAATAAATGAGTCTTTATAATCGGGTATGTTTTATTTAATCTTGTGCTGTCTTCCACTCTTTTTATATATGTACTTGTACATAAATAAAAAACAAACAATAACAATAAAATAGTAGTAAACCACAACACTACTCTCCGTCGTGATGACGTCACTGTCACGACTGGACGACAACGGCGTAGCTGACCTTTCTTTTTGAAACTTTCTTAGAGATGTAGCCGTGTCGCACGTTGTGTATCGATTTCAAAATCGATGTAACCAAAATATACAGACATCTATTCAAAATATTTTATGGCAAGGCGTAGGCCAAGTGAATCACAGAAGAAAAGTCTTACGCTCTTATGATAAAGGGGGTTTCATATGATACTGATGTTGCTAAATGATTTTGAGATTGAGAAAGAAAATCGCACAACACAAAATGAAAATTGCTCTTCATACCTTAAGTAAAGAAAACACATTTATTATTTGTAATTTTATATTATTAAAATAGAAAAGGTACGTAATTATTCACTAATCAACAACTGTATATAGGTAATTATTCGCACTAGAAAAATCAGTCTTATAATATTAAAATCTTGGTCATGGAATAAAAAAATCAGTACTTATTACAGAAATCAACAAAGGGTACATAATTATTCAACAATTGTAAATAATTATTTGCACTAGGTCTAGTCATAAAATATTAAAATCTTGGTCTTTAACTCAATCAGTACTTAATATAGAAAACAACAATTAAAAATAATTAATAAATTATAGGTAATATTAGTCTTAAAATAATAAAAATCTTATGGAATAATAAAACATAAATGTTTAGCTGGCCAAAGCAAATTTTCTAACGTGGTAGAGCCATGCTGCAGTTATATTACGGGAGTTAGTAGTTGTAGCACGAATGGGTCGGCTCAACCGGGGAAGAACCACGCTCTCACGGAATATCGGCATCAAATAGTAGCTTAAATGCTGCTGTGTTTCGTATGGTAAGTGTAGAGAACCGGAGACCCTCTTTACTGGAAACGAGGCATTCCATCTAAGTCCTCACGGGTGAGAGCGCGTCTGCATTTTGATTCGTAATCGAGGATAGATGTAAATGTCTATGGGCCACAGCAACCACTTGCCATCAGGTGGACTGTGTGCTCGTTTATTACCCTATGCTATAAAAAAAGAAATTAACCGTAAAAAAGACTATAAAGTGTATTCCTACCTCATTGAGGTAGAGTTAATCGAAAACGAAAAACTTTGGTTTCACGATAATTTTAAATTTCCGAAAATTCATCATCGTCGACGCTTTCCAAAATCCGAATGAGTTCTGAGGAATCGTTCATGTTGCACTGCACTAATTTTCCCGCTAATCGCTTATGACGTCATCAGTGTGTCGTCTATACTTGACCACGGCGCCCAGTGAACTGATTTTCGATGTCGCGCTAAGGATGCGCCAGAGTTGAGATATTAGATTTATTATGCGAAGATAATTTGTTATTTTTTTTTTAATTCATGTAGCTAATTATAGTTTTATATTTCTAACCTTTTGTTTTATTTAAATATCAATAATTATAGAAAAAAATAACACGTTTGAGCTTAATTTTGAATAGTTTTCAATAAATTTATGGCTAACGCATTACAACACTAGCGGTCTAACATAGACGACTTTGGCGTGCTGGACATAGTATTTGCTTAGACAAAAATCCATTTTTTTTAGTTCAATGTTTCTTAGTACTTGTGGCTCTAGAAGACTTGTTTTTTATACTCACATGTTGCTGGGTTATTCTTTTTTTGAGGGGTGTAGAATTAAAATACCAGTAATAATTTTCCAATGTCTATATTTCATATTTTTTGTGGGCCGGGTTTTTTGTCATCTATAGACGTCGTTGGCGCTCAGGGCACGCGGGTGCTGGTCACGTATAGACGACTTTGGCGCTCAAAAGGTTAATAAAATAAATAGAGTCCACGAAAAAATTAATTCAAATATCAATAATGTTAGAAAAAAATAACACGTTTGAGCTGAATCTTGGAGTTTTCAAGAAATCTATGCCTCCCGCGTTCGACACTAGCGGTCAATCAGACGACTTTGGTGTGTTGGACATAGTATTTGCTTAGATAAAAATCCATTTTTTTTAGTTCAATGTTTCTTAGTACTTGTGGCTCTAGGAGACTTGTTTTTTATACTCGCATGTTGCTGGGTTATTCTTTTTTGAGGTGTAGAATTAAAATACCAGTAATAATTTTCAAATATCTATACATTTCATATTTTTGTGGGCCGGGTATTTTGTTAACTATAGACGTCGTTGGTGCTCAGAGCCCGCAGGTGCTGGTCAAGTATAGGCAACTTTGGCGCTCAATAGGCTAAAACGTCGGCAAGTAGTGAAGATCAAAAGAGTACAACTTTTGTACGTTGTACTATTATTTTGTGAACACAGTAAAGCTGTTAAACATACTATCAAACATCTTTGATAGCATATTTACTACCTATGCCAGCTACGCGTCCGATCCACAGCTGTATCATTTTTGTTTTGAATTGTTCGGTCTAGTAGTATAGTTTTTGATTTCAATTCATGAAAATACATATCCAAATATGAATAAAATGTGATAACTTGTTTCTTGCTTACCTACTTATCTATCAATTGACCTTCAACAGCGGCATCTAAAAGAACTCTGTCCATTTTCGGTCGAACGCATATAAAAAAGATATGAATCGTCTTCCTTTATCTAAAAGGACTATTGATAGGCTGTGAAGATGATGATGATGATGATGATGATGAAATTAGGAATGTATGTAAATACATTGAATAACAGAGAACAGGATAGAGGAAATGGTTTAGTTGTTGAAGAAAAAAACGGTTTTTATTATAAATATAATAATATTTATTACTTCTCACGAGTCACTTCTTTACAAATTAACAAGATTGGTTCCTCAACAGTACTCATTAATTCACACCTCCACGCTATTTACAACGGATGCGCACTGTACTTATCAATAACAAAAGAGATCTTCCGACGCGCCGGGCTGTATGTACATGGGCGGGGGTCGGAGACACATAACCTACGTAACTAAAAAGCGCCTAGGCCACTAAAACGTGGCATTCGGCCATCCAAGTCACGACGATACACGCCAAATGAGATTTTCCACTAAAATGCAAATTCCCTCTGTTGTTATCCCCCACGGGGACGGTTCAAGGTACAACTGGGAGCAAGTGGACTCGTCACAATACGTAGTGCGTCTGTGCAGCTGCCTCCTTTGTTTATTGAAACCGGCTCTGACGTCATTCAGCTCAAATTTACTTTATTTACAACACAACACGCAATTCTATTCGAGACAATACAGACAAATACCCTGTATCCCTTTTTTCAGAACCCATTTCAATTTTGCAAAGATTTTTAAAAACCTTCGCAAGCCAAGGAAAAGAATACTGCATATAAAAATAAATACAATTTAACAAAATCATTGTAATAAAAATAAACTACAAAAAAAATCATGACATTGGGGTGTAATATAAAACATGATGAACCAAGCTATAAAAGGACATATAAATAAAATTTTAAAACTACTTTTGAGATAGGTCTTTGCAGACTTAGTCCTGAAAAGTAGTTTTTCCGAGTAAACAAATTAATAAATTATTTATTATTGTGCATATTTTGTACATCAGACAGTGAACAAAATGTTTTTATTACGTATATATGTATATTATTATTTTTATATTATATTAAGTTTAATATATTATATAATAATCACTACCGCCAACCGTACGGCGTGAAGCTGTCGTCACTGCAGTATTCTTATCCAGCGGAGGATTAGTTTATTCAAAAACTTACGTTAGTGAAAATATAAAAATAATAATACCGTATGTATTACAAAAATATTAAATAAATTAAGTATGTAATTAAATTGAACATGAATGTCTTAGGTATTGGCGACGTTCGCTTTTTTTGTTTAAAACGTGTTGATCTAAAACGAGATAGAACGGTTGTTATGCGAAGATATTGTCATCAAGAGGCTACTTTAGAAATATTTTAGGAGTTTGCAAGTGTGATTTTTTTTTATAAGTAAGTTAACGTGATTTATTTTGATTGGTTTATAGTGATAACGACTTTTTTCTCTTTATTGACGGAGATTTCTTATTTTATTCTATGAAAGAATAGATGACTATACGTTATTTTTGAATATATAATTGATTTATGACTTGACTTGGGTTGGATTGTTTTGCGTAACTACGTCCTATCGCGAAAATGATTTATTTTTCGTTTGGAGGTTTTAGCTTAATTACATTCCAATTATGTGTGGTATCCTGTTGGTATGAGTGGCGGGTGTGTTGGGTGTGGTGGGTGTCGGTCGGGCTAGGCGGGCTGGTGGAGCTGGTACTGCGGGTTGTGGTGCTGGCGGTGCCGCAGCCAGGCGCGGAAGCGTGCGCGGCGCGCGGCGTGCAGGCGCGCGTGCGAGGCGCGCGCCGCCGCCAGGCTGCCCGCGCGGTACGCCACGTGCGCGCGCCCGCCCACCAGCCTGTCACATACACATACACACCTTATATTATAACGCACTGAGCCTCGCCAACGATCACACATTGGACCACAGATGTGTTGCCATCTGTGACAACTAACATGGCTAATAGCCCGTTGACACTCTCGCGCGAGCGGCGAGGCGAGTCGCTAAGCGAGCCACGACCCACGAGGTGCGAGTGTAAACGTTAGTTCGTGGTCTCGCGTCGGAGGCGGTTTTCAGGCACGAGTCAAAGGGCCTGGCGAGGGACGCGAGCGTGCTGTTTACTTGATTTTTGTGTTAACTATTTTATTTGATTAGGTATATTATTTCATTGGTGAATAGAAAAGTATAATTTGACATGTGCTGCACAAAGCTGATTTTTAAAAATCCATTACATTCTAGTGCGTAATAAACAATATTACAAGACAAGTCCATTGTATATTTTTTTAATTTCCCTTTTAAAAATGATCAGGCATCGAACAATACTTATTACGGCAAGAATTGATGCAGCTATTATTGCTACGTCTTCCATCGTTGCTGGCTTAACGCAAACTGAACGCATCGCGAGAGTGTAAACAGGCACTCGTTACTTCGCAACAACACGTCAGCTGCTAGACGAGGTACAAGGCGAAGCGCACGGCCGGTATTATAAGTTTTCATTTAACTAATTATCATTTACCAACCAATAATATAAAATTAAAACAGCTACCTTAACAAATTCTTTCTTATACAAAATTTATGCTGAACAACACCTAACCTCACTAACATTCTGTCAGAATACTAAACAGAAAGAACATAACTTTTTTTAGACCAAACACACAGTCTATTTAATGATACATATACAAAGTGTTACAGACATTAAACTCATCTTTGTACATGAATTATTGTCATTGAAGGCTAATGTCAAATGTTTAAAATAGGTGAAATAATACTAGTTTTTACGGAATTTATCGCGTGTATTTAACTTTTTAATTACCCGACGTTTCGAACGCTTTACAGCACTCATGGTTACGGGCAGGACTGAGATGTTCAACGTCCATATGTCATAGTTAACCGCGGTTACCATAGATTAAAATTTAACTTTTGTTCCGATCTATGCAATATGAACTTATGGTATCTTAATGAAGTCTTGCAGTTGTACGCTTGGGTTGGGATTTAATTTTATTTTATAGGATCCCAAGCAGATGGTAGCACCCAGCCATCTTCTCTATTGAAATTAGGATGTTTTTGATTTCAATAGCCTCGCGAATCATCCTTGGAAGGAATCGGTGTTCTTTAGCGAGGATCTGCGGTCTATATGTTCGTTAACGCGGGTTTTTATTGATCTTTTAGTTTGTCCTATGTAGGAGAGACCACATTCACAATCAAGCTTATACACTCCTGCATCTTGCAGAGGTACATTACACTTGACCGATGGTAAAAACTGACCAATCTTCTTCAGCGGCTTGAAGTATGTTTTGATGGAAGCGCGCTTCAAGATGTAGCCAATCTTGTCAGTGACTCCTCTAACATATGGCAGTACAGCAGGTACACGCTCGACTGTGGCCGGCTTCACTCGTTCACTGTGACGTAGGCGCGGACTCGAAGCTTGTTGTCATGCAAAACTTGCTTGACATGGTGGAGCTCTGCAGCCAGGTGTTTACTGTCACAGATCCCTCGTGCTCTCTGAAACAAAGATTTACCCACGGTAGCTAACTGTGAAGGATGGTGGTGAGATTGTGAAATTTCACAATGGAGTTAGAGGCAAACAATTCCTTAGCTTTTCTAGATGTGTTAGTAATTCGGAATCCTGATAACACCTTGAGCCATACTGTGTATAGAAAAAAGACCCATACAGATAGATATTTAAACGGTGATTCTCACCACCATCCTTCACAGTTAGCTACCGTGGGTAAATCTTTGTTTCAGAGAGCACGAGGGATCTGTGACAGTAAACACCTGGCTGCAGAGCTCCACCATGTCAAGCAAGTTTTGCATGACAACAAGCTTCGAGTCCCGCGCCTACGTCACAGTGAACGAGTGAAGCCGGCCACAGTCGAGCGTGTACCTGCTGTACTGCCATATGTTAGAGGAGTCACTGACAAGATTGGCTACATCTTGAAGCGCGCTTCTATCAAAACATACTTCAAGCCGCTGAAGAAGATTGGTCAGTTTTTACCATCGGTCAAGTGTAATGTACCTCTGCAAGATGCAGGAGTGTATAAGCTTGATTGTGAATGTGGTCTCTCCTACAAAGGACAAACTAAACGATCAATAAAAACCCGCGTTAAAGAACATATAGCTGATGTGAAGAATCGACGCTCCGGGAAGTCTGCAATCTGTGAACACGTACAGGATCGCCCCCCGTCACTACATCAGAATTGATAGACCGCAGATCCTCGCTAAAGAACACCGATTCCTTCCAAGGATGATTCGCGAGGCTATTGAAATCAAAAAACATCCTAATTTCAATAGAGAAGATGGCTGGGTGCTACCATCTACTTGGGATCCTATAATAAATAAAATTAAATCCCAACCCAAGCATACAACTACAAGACTTCAAGATACCATAAGTTCATACTGCATAGATCGGAACAAAAGTTAAATTTTAATCTATGGTAACCGCGGTTAACTATGACATATGGACGTTGAACATCTCAGTCCTGCCAGTGACCATGAGTGCTGTAAAGCGTTCGAAACGTCGGGTAATTAAAAAGTTAAATACACGCGATAAATTCCGTAAAAACTAGTATTATTTCAATGTATAGTGTTCGCGTAAATATAAGAAATCATTATTTAAAATAGTTGTTTTACGTTGGTATTCTGTAAGAATGTTGTACTTTCCTGATATCATAATATAGTCGGGCATGGCTCCATCGCATTAAATACAACATCAATATACACATCACATATACAGATTGTGTGAAACTAAATGACCGCGTAGTTGTGAAAATCTATCGTTGCTACATATTACTGCTGTATACTATTAGTAACTTCATTACAAAGATATTTCTTTCCCTCTGTCATCTCTTATGACGCCCACTGGACGACATCACCGTCAATACACAATAACTAATTGTGATATAATCAATAGTAAGTTTTTTTATAGAAGAGGGGGCAAATGAGCATACGGCTCACCTGATGTTAAGTGACTACCGCCGCCCATGATCAACCGCAACACCAGGGGAATTGCAGGTGCGTTGCCGGCCCTTTAGAAAGGAGTAAGCTCTTTTCTTGAAGGTCCCCAGGTCGTATCGGTCCGGAAAAATCGCCGGTGGTAAACTATTCCACAGAGAGGTTGTACGCGGAAGAAAACTCCTTTTGAAAAGTACAGTAGTGGACCGCCAAGCATCCAGATGGTGTAGATGGTATCGGGACGTTTGCCGCGTAGTGCGTTCACAAAATTTGGCGGCTGGGATTAATACGAACAATTCTTCAGCGCACTCTCCATGGTATATGCGAAAGAAAATGCAAAGAGATGCAACATCTCTTCGCGGTGCCAGTGAATCGAGCCGATCGGAAAGCACTCGGTCGTCGACGATTCCAGCCACTCTGCGCTGGATGCGGTCAAATGGAAGGTGCTGGTACTGGGGACCCCCAGCCCAGAGATGGGAAAAGTATTCCATGTGCGGCCGAAACTCCGCCTTGTAAAGTTGCAGGCGGTGTGCCGGCATGAAATACTGCCCCGCTCTGCTGAGCACGCCAAGCTTTTTAGAGGCCAATTTGGCCTTCTCTACCAAGTGACCACGAAACTGCACGTCACTCGATATGTCGACGCCGAGGATCCCGATACTGGCTGAGGCAACAAGGGGAGTGCCTTGAAACTGAGGAGATACGACAAAGGGGTTTTAGCGGTTAACGCGCAAACTTGTGTCTTCTGGGGGTTAAACTGGACTAGATTTAGTCGCCCCTAATCAGAGACTGTTCAGCAAAGACTCGACCTTAGACACAAGTTTGTCCCGGCACTCGGAGAAATTTTCCCAAGAAATATTGGCTCGGCCGGTGTAAAGAGTATCACAAGTGCTGTCATCTGCATAGCAATGAATGTTACGGGTTTGCAACATATCATTTATATGCAGAAGAAACAACGTTGGCGATAGCACGCAGCCTTGTGGAACACCAGCATTAATAGGCTTGCAATCGGAGCTTGCACCGTCTACAACGACTTTGATGCTCCGATCTGCAAGAAAGCTGGTGTTCCAATCGCACAATTTCTCGGGAAGTCCATAGGAAGGGAGCTTCGAAAGAAGCGCTCTGTGCCAAACCCGATCGAAGGCCTTCGCAATGTCCAAACTAACGGCCAATGCCTCCCCCTTGGACTCTACTGCCTGCGCCCATCTATGAGTTAGGTAGACCAGAAGATCACCAGCTGATCGACCACGGCGAAAACCGTATTGGCGATCACTCAGCTGGTGATCCTCAAGGTACCTCATGAGCTAGCAGTTTACAATGGATTCCATTGTTTTGGAGAAGAAGGAGGTGATGGCGATAGGCCGGTAGTTGGACGGGTCTGAAGCGGTCGCCTTTTTTAGGGTTCCGTAGTCAACTAGGAACCCTTATAGTTTCGCCATGTCTGTCTGTCCGTCTGTCCGTCCTCGCTTAATCTCTGTGACTGTTAGCACTAGAAAGCTGAAATTTGGTACCAATATGTGTATCAATCACGCCGGCAAAGTGGTAAAATAAAAATTGAAAAAATAATGTTTTATTAGGGTAACCCCCCTATATGAAAAGTGGGAAGTGATTTTTTTTAATTTCAACCCTAACGTGTGATATATTGTTGGAAAGGTATTTAAAAATGAATAGGGGTTTACTAAAATCATTTTTTGATAATGTCAATAATTTCGGAAATAATCGCTCCAAAAGTAAAAAACAATGTGTCCCCCCCCCTCTAACTTTTGAACCATAAGTTTAGAAAATATGAAAAAAATCTGAAAAGTAGAACTTTATAAGGACTTTCAAGGAAAATCATTTTGAACTTGGAAACAACAGTACCCACTACCGGGAGCCGTTGCAGGAGCGCGGAGCGCTGCTGGAGCGCGAACGTAATGGATACCCACCTTTAAACTCGTAAGTGGGAACACTTATTGTGACGGCCGGGAAACTACGGAACCCTACACTGAGCGTGGCCCGACACGCTCTTGGCCGGTTTTATTTATTGATCGGGTGGACGAAAGCCGTCTTCCATGATTTTGGGACTACGCCTATGGAGTAGGAGTACAGGAAAAGACGCGTTAAAACCGGTGCCAACTCTGGAGCACACGTCCTTAGCACAATTGGGGGGATTCCGTCAGGCCCACTCGACTTGTGGATGTCCAGGGAGAGGAGTGCTTTGCGAACCGAGCACTGTGCGAAATGCACTTCAGGTACTCAGAGCACTCACACCGCGGGATGGTCGGCGGCGTACTCCCCCCGTCATCGAGTGTCGAGTTGGACGCAAAGAAAGAGCCTAACAGATCGGCTTTCTCCTTTGCGGTATGGGCCAGTGAGTCGTCTTCCTGTGCAGAGATGGAAGAGATGGCTGACAGAAATTCCCCTGGACAGCCTTGGCGAGAGACCAGAATGCACGGGTTTCAGAAGGAAGGCGAACTAGTTTCTCGCCAATTATGCCTATGTGCTCTGACTTTGCCTTGGCAATGACTTCTTTTTTAGAGCGCTGGTGTTTACATCCCGGGACGCTGATGCGTCAGCCCAGGCTTGGTAGCACTCCTACTTATAGCATGATGCTATTTTACAGGAGCGACCAAGCCATGGCTGAGACTTGTCTCCAATGGGCACCACAGAGGAAGGAATAAAAAGTTCCATACCCTGAAGTACCACATCAGCGACAAAATCAGCAACAACGTTGGGATCATCCGGCGAGAAGCAAACCCGCTCGCAAAGTGACATAAATAAAAGTATATATAAGAGTGAGCGATAAGAGGCTGATGACAAGTGGACAACAAAAAAGTTAGTGAGCGCAGGGTGCTGACCGTATTCCTGTAGCGAGCGTGCACTCGGACTGGTCGTGCAGGCGCGGCGGCTTGCGGCGGCGCACGTTGGGTGCGTGTGGGGGTGCGTGTGGCGGTGCAGCGCTGCTGCAGGCGGTGGCGCCGGTGTCGGCGGCGCCGGCGCGGCGCGCGTTGCGGCGAAGGAACACGGGCTTGTGGCGCGCGGCTGCCCCCGCCCCCGCGCCCGCGCCCGCCGTGTCCGGCCGCGCGTAGCGCTCCGCGTACAGCGACCAGGCCGCCACGCGCGACACCGGCGTGCTGCTGCACTCGCGACTGCGCCCCTGCAATACACACAACCATACATTCCACGGCCCTGCACCGCACTCGCTTATCAATGACAACAGCGACCTCAAATCCCTCACGACACTACTAATTTGTACAGCGTACAAGTCATTATTATGGCTCCGGATGTTCCTTGTCAATATTTTTTATATAAACTCCCCCCCCCCCCCCCCCAATACATAAAAAATTCTAATAAGGAAGTAACGTTTAAAAATATATAGAATATTACATAACAAAACTGCGCATGTATAACATATATACTCAAGTATATCCACATAGTTCTATTTCAAGCAAGATACTATACTTGTGTCTTTTTACAGCACACATCACTCAATAACTTATTGTAATATAATTTATTTATTCATATAAAAATCATTAACCTGTAGCTGTAACTGATAAATTTATAATGCTTATATAATTATACTATTTTATATATATTATACATTTACATTTAATAAAAAACTACAAAAATGAATTTTTAACAGTCACATGACAATCAGGATTTTACAGCTCTATATATTGTTTAAGATTGCAGAAAATCAACTTTGGTAACCCCACAGATATTAGATTGTACAGCTCTTTTTCTACACAGTACTAATGCGGTACTTTTGTTACCTTTCAATTTCTTAAAGATATTATGAATACAAATAGTGGGGTATTCTGATTTATTGTATAACTGTCATCTTTATGTTTGATGTTCAACTTCACTTCTATTCATCATTCATCACACCATTTCAAAATTAATAAAATTTTTACTATTAATTTATAAAAAGTTTTAATATATAGAAGACATATAGAAATATATGTTATAGAACCTATGTTGTAAATTGATCTTATAAATATCAGAACGTATAATGTGCGCATCGGTATGTTTGTTGGTGGCAGTAACCTGTGCGGTAGGCGAGAGCCGGGAGCTGTCGTTGTTGTGCGGCGAGCTGCGGCCCTCGCCGCCGCCCTCCAGCAGCTCGAACGTCACCCTGCACTCGTCTCCGCCGTACTGCAAAAAACGACACACGCCTCCATTAAACAGACTCTCTCAATTATTACAGAACATCACACTCTGCTAACATAATCATGCTTGACAGCAAAGTTTATGCGATCTGACCGCTCCATGGCGCAGTGGCTTGGCAACGAGTTACAACGCTGAGGGTCATGGGTTCTAATCCCGCAAGAAACAAGTATTTATATGGCCTATAAATAATTATCCCAGATTTGGTTGTTTATCCTTGTGAAATTTATGTATGTAAACTGCTCGTATGTGTATTTGTAAAGCATGCCCGTATCGTGGCGCAAGTACAAATTCTAGTGGAAGTAACATTTATAACAAAATAGTGAACTGAGTAAAAAAAAAGAATCTAAAATAGACTAGAATAATAGTGTCAGACACTGTATGTGCATCTTCAAACACTACACAACACAAACAGGTCTATATTAAAATACATTCCTCCCACCACACGATGAAAGCTTCCAAACATAAGATGCACAGCACAATGTGAAAGCAAAACACTCAAATACATTATGCTATCAAAAGTACTAATAAGTTTATTATCTATAGTCGTAGTCAAACCAAAATCTGCTTTGTGCAATTTTTTGAGATTGTAACATTTTGACTAGGAAGAGTATCGAGTTCATCAATCGATCTTTCATATGAAATAACTAGCTATGTGCTTTTGGGATTGTACAACAAACCATGACAACTTTTTAAAACATGCAATGTGCAGCAGCTAGAATATTGTCAATTAATACCTTCAATGTGACAAAAACGCACATAGCATATTTTACTTGATTTTAATTGTTATTGTTTAGGAGAATATCTGCTATATGTTTAGTCTAAACACAAAACGTTACATTCACGACGAATGGGTAACCAGCTAAGTTGAGAGCGATAAGTACACATGATCATACTTTCGAAGATTAAAAATGAATCAAATGCAGTTATTAAGAAGACGGTCATATTTATTCAAGAGTTCTGCATTCAGGTCAAAATAACACACATCAACATAGTCAAAAATGGGAAAAATTAAAGTCTGCACAATAATCGTCTTGGTTTTGGACGGTAGGAAGTTCTTCAGGCGGTAGAGAGAACGCAAAATACCTGTGACTTTCTGACAAACATTTGCCACTTGAGTTTGCCAGCTCAAGGTGGAGTCAATGTGTTAGCCAAGGTCTTTTACAATATTACTCAGTTCTAAAATAAAACCATCAAAAATGATCAGAGGTAAGGCTGTGGGATCCAGTTTCTTTATCACCGTTGGCTACCAGTACCATATGTATTAGAAAAAGATTAAAAAGTTACTTAAGAGATAATAATAATAATAATAAAAATAAAAATAATAATAAAAGGGGTTCATGGTGTGTCACGCTGTGCTCGCCCGTCAGTTTCAAGAGGCTCTCAACCAGAAGTCGCTCCCTAGCCTCTTCACTACTGGGATCACTCATTTGGTTCCTAAAGACCAGGTTACCACAGACCCGAGCAAATACCGCCCCATTACGTGTCTACCCACCATATATAAGACACTGACATCCATTTTGAGCGCGAGAATCACTCGTAACCTGGAGCTAAATCAGGTGATGTCACGCGCTCAAAATGGATGTCGGGGCGGTGGTCGTGGCTAAGGACCACTCCTCATTTACGCGGTCATTGGCAAAGTGGTAAAACGCAACCGTCGGAACTTCTCCGCCGCCTGGATAGACTACAGAAAGGCATTCGACTCGGTGCCCCATACATGGCTAAAGAGAGTCCTCGAGCTGTACAAGATAGAATGTACAGTGAGACTTCCTCGAGCAGTGTATGGGGCAGTGGAGTCTGGGTGAGCGGATGATGGCTGCGGAGAACCACATAAGGATAAGAAGGGGTATCTTCCAGGGCGATTGTCTGACTTCAATCTGGTTCTGCCTCTCCCTGAACCCTCTCAGTACCTTACTGGAGGGATCCGGGAGAGGATTTCAGCTACGGAAAGGAGGGACAAAAGTACCCACCTTTTCTATATGGATGACCTTAAGTTATTCGCCTCCAGTCGCTCCCATCCTGTGGAATTGCTAAAAATCACTTGTGAGTTTAGCAGTTCCATTGGGATGGAGCTGGGGACGGATAAGTGTGCGGTCCTCCATGTTGAGAGGGGAAAGGTTGCTAACTCTGAGGGCATAGATTTATCTATGCCCGTCAACTTAAGGACCCTTTCCGAGGCTGAAACATACCGATACCTGGGTATGTCATAGAACATCGGTATCGATGAGGCTGGTGTAAAACAGTTAGTTTGCGACGTGTTTTATGCACGCTTGACCAAAGTGCTTAATAGCCTTTTGTCCGGTGTGAATTAGACACACGCATATAACGGTTGGGTCATGCCTGTCCTTATGTATACCCTTGGCATACTCAGGTGGACTCAGACTGAACTTAACGCTCTGGATAGAAAAGTCCGCACTACCATGACGTCCCATAGGATGCATCATCCGAGATCGTCGGTAATGACGCTGTACTTGCCGCGAAAGCATGGTGGGCGTGGCTTTCTGAGCGCGCTCACTATGCATAATCGTGAAGTGTGCAGCCTCCGTCATTACTTCCTGGCGAGATCAGATGATCCATTCTATAATGACGTCATTTCTAGTGATAAAGGGCTTACCCCTCTATCCTTGGCCAACGAGCAATGGCAGGACCCAGCAGTGCTTAGCATTTCCGACCGGGAGACCGTATGGAAGGAGAAGGAGCTCCACGGGAGGTACTACAGGGCTCTACATGAGCCCTTCGTAGATACAGGCGCCTCCCTCAACTGGCTACGTTTTGGTGACCTCTTCGGGGAAACCGAGGGTTTTGTCTGTGCAATACAGGATCAGGTTATTAAGACCAACAACTATCGGAGCTACATCCTAAAGGATGGCACCGTTGACGTCTGTCGAGCTTGTCGCCATCCCGGGGGAGTCACTTAGGCATGTCATCTCCGGTTGTTCGGCGCTTTCTAACTCTGAGTACTTGCACAGGCACAACCTAGTAGCCAGAATTCTACACCAGGAGCTCGCTCTGAAATACGGTCTCGTGGACCGGAAATTGCCGTATTACAAGTACTTGCCGGAAGCCGTGCTCGAAAATGACCGCGCCAGGCTCTACTGGGACCGGGCCATCATCACAGACAGGACTATTCTTGCAAATAAGCCTGATATTGTGCTGATGGACCGGGCACAGTCAAGGATATTTTTGGTCGACATTACCATTCCGTATGACGAGAACCTCGTGAAAGCCGAAACAGATAAGCAAACAAAATATCTGGACCTGGCTCACGAGGTGACCGACATGTGGGGTGGTCTGCCAACCGAAATTATTCCTGTAGTCGTCTCTGCAAACGGGCTAATCCCAGTCAGCCTCTCGGGTCATCTGAGGCGACTGGGACTCCGTGACGGACCGCTCCGGGCTCAAATGCAGAAGCTCCTCGATACCGCCCGCATCGTCCGTCGGTTTCTTTCCCTTTCCCCCTAACCCTCGGCCGTTTGGTCTCCCCTGCCGAGGGCTCCCATCTGGTTGGATCTTTATTTATTTGTGTATTTTTTGTATTTATTTTATTTTATTGATATTTATGTATATTTATCTTTTCATTTTAATTTATAATTATATATTTATAGAAACCAACCAGATGAGAAAACTATACAGATACCCCAAAAATAATAATAATAATAACAACCTCTTGGAAATAAAGAACTTATTATTATTATTATTATCTCTTAAGTTAACTACTTCAGTAGCATAGTCAGTTGACAAACGATTAACTTGTATAATACTTTGCAAAAGTAATGTAGTGAAAAAGAAATGTGTGCCGCGGAAAGAAGTTAGTAAATTTAGTTTTTTAATAGCCAGTAATGAAAAATGTTTACAAGAGGAAAGTTAACATCCAATATGCCAGAACCAATGCCTCTGAATCAAAACCTGCTAAATTCCACAGCTACACAGGAGTGATCAACTGTCCGTACCCTCCACAGCAGTGAAAAGAACGTGTCGGTTCATCCTCTGAACGAAGTAATAGCCCACCCCTTCCTACAATCACTAAATGGAAGCATTACATTGTTTACAGTAGCAATGATGATGAGAATTCATGAAATCCTGTCCAGGTGTTGACGAGCATCGAAATGCTAAGCAACTCTCAAACTCCAATATTTCGTCAATCGTAAGCCGTAAAACGCCGCCGTTTGCTGAATAAACAATACATGGGTTACCAGGAAAAGGTTGGGAAGCTAGAACAAAGCATTTCAAAAGATCATCAATTCAGATCTGTAAAAACTCGTGATCATAATGCAATAAATAAAAAATCTATAAATAATTATTTAATGTGCGGTTTTGTACATAAGCAATACCAATGGCAATCATGGCAGATGACAATGAATCCCCTACTCACCTACAATGAATGTAAAAGCAGGCCTACAATATTTTTATACTTCTTAAAATTTACGTGTAATTTTTTCACTTTATGCTCATTTTTATGAATTTATATTTTTTGACACCTAGTCGATATTTTAAAGATAATCTTTTAAAAAAAAAGTATAAGCTTTAATAGTAAATTTAAAATAACTGAAAACGAAGCATTCCATCTTATCTCTAGTCTTCTTTCTAGTTATCTTCCAGTCTTCAGGGTTGACAATGCATCTGCATTTTGATTCTTAATTGGGGATAAATAAAGACGTCTACGGGCCACAGCATCTTCTTATCATCGGGTGGACTGTGTGCTCATGCGTCGTTCGGATCATGAAAAAGATCCTGGTCTCGTGAATACGACATTACGCCCATTTTTAGTGTTTTAAATAAATCCCAGTGATAATGGACCACTATAATTTTTATATATTTGTTTAAAACCAAATAGTGCCATAAAAATTACTTTCAATTTATCGTTTTAAATGTTCGCACGAAAACGCTAACCGCCATGCAGAATTGCCAGTTAATGCTAGGGACGTCACTGTCCTAGGGTTTTACGGATTTTGTAAAGTAATAAGATATTTTTGGATGTTTCATAATGAGTTATCATTTTTATAGCTGGTGTGTTGCGCCTGAATACAAAAATACGAGCATAAGAACGCCGGGGAAATTGAGATCTAAGTGCCAACTAATTTAAATACGAGAAATACTTTGTTAAAAATGGCAAGAAGATACCCGAATGAATACATTGTCTACAAAAACTGGACTTAACTGCTATGAAGATCATTTTGATGTAAACATGACTTATATTTAAGTAGCGTTTATACAAAACAAAATATCATGAAGCAACAGGTATTGCAAGTCAAATTTTGTAATGCATTGCGTTAGATATTACAACTAATGATTGTAATCACAGATAAACATAATTATGTATGTACGGTCTTCTGCAAATCAGCATTTTTACCTTATTTGTATTATCTTTCATTCTCATTAATTCAGTTCGCAAACATGCGCCGTCGCACACTGTACTCACTACCAATAGTTCAGAATTAAATATATAATCAGTTGGAGTCTTTATTATTAGTATCAACTTTTAAGATTGTAGGGCACAGCAGATCCTATAATGTGTTATCAAAAAACACTCTGACCTAGCAATGTTATTGTATAAACAAAAGTTGGTAATTTAGTTACATAGATGCTATAACATTCCTCAACTAGGAAGAACGAAACTCGGGATTGTATCCAAAAAATTTAGCCTTCATCAACGTATTTATCCTTGGAAGATAACTACTTTCTGCTTTTACGAATCCGTGACAGTGCTGCCCATCTCCCGATTTATTGTTCCTCTGTCGCCTCTCATGATACCTACGGGATGATACGAGACAGTTGATATTCTTACACAATCACATCATGGCATGCATCAATCAGTCCAGTGCTATTTGTGGTCTTAGTGGTTACAATTTTATTAATATTAATAAGGGGTACACGCAGCACATGTGGAGGCTGTGCGCTGACGGCGGCAGGCACTGACCAGGCGCACGAGGAAGGCGGTGTGGTCCTGACGCAGGTAGCGGGCGGCGCGCCGCACGTACGCGCCGCCGCCCGCGCCGCCGCCCGCCCCGCCACGCAGCGCTCGAGCTGCCATCTCCGCCGCGCGAACAGACCACGGCTCCGACGCGCAGTGTTGCAGCTGTACACAATGCAAATTGCTGTACCTACTCTGTGCACACAACTACTAACCTAATGGCTCACCATGGACACAGTTGTAGCTACTCTATGTGCATACGCACCAACCTAACTCGGCTGGCAATAGACATCAGTAGGAAGGCAGCATGCGTGTATTCAACACTGACACTCTGTCAAATGCACATCGCATGATTCTCATCATTGTCATAACATTATCATATCAAATTCACAATTTTCAAATGGATCTCTCTCTCTCTCTGATTAAGTAATAGCACAAAACTCATTAGCACGGATGTTTGTAATTCTGCGTAAATCGACTGCATAATTAATATGCAGTCGATCTTAATAAGAAAAATATTTCAATAAGAACAATTTATTCTTAAAAGTAATATACCTATATAATTATTTCTTAATTTACACGAACACTACACATTGATTAAAACTACTTTTACGGATTTTATCGTGTTTAACTTTAATTATTTTTATTTTTAATTCCGACGTTTCGGGTGCTTTCCAGCACCTTCTTCAGCTTTTTTAATTAATCATAAACAATAATTAAAAAAGCTGAAGGTACTCCGGGTTTAACAATGACATCGGGACGTCAGTCACCTCAGTCCCCCGTGACCATGGGTGCTGGAAAGCACCCTAAACGTCGGGAATTAAAAATAAAAATAATTAAAATTAAACGCGATAAAATCCATAAAAGTAGTTTTAATCAAAGTCGTATATATTTAAAATGATGTATATAATGTATTTAAAAAGACCTGTCTCATAATACGAGGGGTGATCCAAAAGTATTGATAATGAAAATAAAACACGGTAATTAAAGTTAAAATAATAATTTATTTTTCTACATAGTCCCCTAACAAATCAATACATTTAGTCCATCTTTTTTCTAAACCCAGGATTCCCTTTGAAAAAAAATTCTTTGTCTTGACCCTCCCAAAATGCTTCAACAGCGGCCATTACTTCGCTATCGTCTTCGAATTTCTTGCCTCGGAGGCGTTCCTTGAGTCGAGGAAAGAGGTAGAAGTCACTAGGAGCTAGATCTGGCGAATAGGGAGGGTGTTCGAGCAGTTCGAATCCCGTTTCTTGAATGGCAGCCATCGCAACTGCGGCTTTGTGAGCCGGTGCGTTGTCTTGGTGAAACAGCACTCCAGCTCGCAGTTTGCCGCGTCTTTTTTTCCTTAATGGCCTCCCGTAATCTTCTTATTTGTAAGAGCCCGTAATAGTGGCTCCCTTTTCCAAGTATTCCACCATAATTATGCCTTGAGCGTCCCAAAAAACAGATGCCATAACCTTTCCCGCCGAACTTGAAACTTTGAATTTCTTTGGCGTCGGTGAGGAGGCTCGCTCGCTTCCAAGTCATCGATTGTTGTTTCGTTTCAGGATCAAAATGGTGGATCCAGGTCTCGTCCATAGTCACAAAATGGAACAAACAAATTTTCTTGATCTTTTCGAGATTGACCCTCGAAATGTCAACTCGATTTTTCTTTTGCTCGTCAGTTAACATTCTGGGTACCCAACGCGCAGAGACCTTTTTCATATGCAATTCGTTCGCAAGGACTATTTGAACGCTGCCATATGAGATCCCTGTGACCTCAGCTAAATGCCTGATGGTTACTCTTCGATCTGCCAACACAACTTCGACTTTTTTCAAGTTGTCTTTAGTGAGGGACGTGGATGGGCGTCCTTCGCGATGTTCATCTTCAGTGGATGTTCTTCCCAGTTTAAAGTCCTTGGCCCAGCGTGCAACTGTAGAATTTGGAGGAGCAGAGTCCCCCAATGTTTCCACTAAGTCACTGTGTATGTCTTTTGAAGACATTTTTTTCAATCAGAGGTACTTGATGACAGCTCTAATTTCGTTTTTCTCCATCTTGATGTTATCTCTTTGACAGTTCGTATTCAAATGAATGTATCTCCCGGAAATCGTGATCTATTTGTATGATTTTTTTAGGCTGAAGTAGTGAGTATATAAGCAAGCAAAAAAATTTTTTTTTGGATTTTATGCGAACCTGAAGTAACCGATTATCATTACTTCTGGATCACCCCCCTCGTATCTATTAAATATTCATCTTTTTGTGCAATTTTATTTTGGAAACAATTATAAAATTATATATAGAATACATTATTAATATTTTCTTAATGAATTCAATGTTTGTTAACAATTGTGTCTATTAGCTATTTTAACGTTGTAACAGTTCCAGTGAGCGTGTGTACCTGTCTGACGGCGATGGAAACGATCTTATCGAGCGTGTAGGCGGGGTAAGCCTTGATGCCGAGCATCTCGCGCACGGCGTCTTCGTAGGCGGCCGGCTCCGTGTTGCCGTCCAGCACGGCGCGCACCAGCTCCAGCAGCGCGGGGTAATGGCCGGCGGGTGGCGCGGCGGGCGCCAGGCTGCCGGGGCGCAGGCGTAGCGCGGCCGCCGCCCCGCCGCCCGCCCCGCCACTCGCGCCGCACTCGGCCGCCAGCGCCGCCGCCGCGCGCCGCGCCGCGCCCAGCCGCGCGCACAGCACGCCGTGCAGCCGCAGGAACAGGTACCACGATGACGTGCACACGAACCGCCTCTCCTGCACACGCACATTACACAACTTCTCACTATCTTTTTTTATAAAATAAGGCTCACCAAAAACCTCACACAGACCACCTGACGCTAAGTGGACATTATGACCCATAACATTACATCTAAAATAAGAATTTCATTTTCGTTCTCAATTAACCCTAGAGTAATCGCGCCTTTCCGTGAAATGCGGGTGATCGCGTATGGAGCATTTTGTCGCCCATACCATAGATTTTTTTTTGAAAATAGGAGTAATATAGTTTTATATTTATTTTTAAAGAACAGAATAAAACATAAATTATCAGAAAGAGAAACATTTATTAAAGTTTTGTACTTAAAATTTAGAAAATAATGCTTTGGGAAATCTCAGGTAGAAATTTTTTAAAGGTTTAAAAGGTTTTTTGCAACCTCTTTACAATTATTCGTATAAAATAAACAAAAATTAAACTTTACACCTTTTCATCATCTACAGTCTGTATTTCAACAAAACAATCACGATATATCTAAATGCAGGATGAAATTTAGAATCGTTTGGCAGGAATTTATGGGAGTAAGGCGTTTTATTTGGTAGAAGTTTGGTCCCCAATTATAATAATACCACTCACATTAAAATGTAATGCACCGTTTTTGAGAAAAATCAAAAAGAAAATCCCATGTAACTAACCTCAAAATGATAACTCAAAAAGAATTTAGGGGGTGGGAGGTGGTGGGGAGAGAAGTTTTTAGGAGTGATTTATGGGAGGAGAATTGGGTGAGGGAAGCACCCCGAAGCGTAGTTGAGGGAAGCCCGGGCGACGGGGCCCCGCTTTGCGGGGCTCCTACTTCTAAGTGGTTTACAAAAAAAAATACCAACGAAGGAGTTGGCGGGGTCTATTCGTCGCTTCACTCGCTCACTCGACCCTGCCATCCCCTTCTAACCTAACCTGTCCGAGTCGGAGTGCCCTAAGTCCCGAGCTCGCTTCGCTCGCTCTTGCACTGAACAAAACACCAAAATATTAGCTTTTATAATTACTTTAAATTATGAACATATTATATAATCTACACTAATATTATAAAGAGGAAAGATTTGTTTGTTTGTTTGAATTGAATAGGCTCTGAAACTACTGAACCGATTTGAAAAATTCTTTCACCATTGGAATCCTACATTATTCCTGATGAACACAGGCGATAGAACGTTTTCAAAAAATTTAGGGATCCGTATGAAAACTTCGTTAATGTAACCCAAGGTGTGTAAGGTAAGGTGTGAAAAAAATACCAAAAAAAACCTTATATCGCGTACGCTGCGGAAACTATTGACAATAGAGCAAAGTGATGTGCTACAGTTTTATGGAGGACATCAATATCTACATAAAAGTCTGCAATACCATATGTCTAACTATTATAGTTATCCCACCATAACTACTTTTCCATGTTAAAATATTCAATAGTAACGTCGAAAAATCCTTATATCGCGTACACTGCCAGCACCATGCGATGCGGGTGTCACTGGGGTGTGGGAGGGGAGTCTATGTCAAAAAATAAATTGCCGCGCGGCCCACTGATATACGCGGGTGAAACCGCGGGGTACAGCTAGTGTAATATATAAGCACACTACGACTCGCACAGGTGCCTGCGATTTGCTACAATGGGCGGGGGCTGCTCTCCCTCCGCGCCGCGGCTTTACAAAAACAATCTAGGAGTAGGGCAGAGAAGACTACGTGGGTTCGGGGCGAGCTGATTTAATTTTAGTACAGATTCGATAAGATCTATAAAGTCAGGTTGCCTTTGCTCCTGCCACAACCATCTAGCCTCTTACAACTGAAAGTATTGCTTGGTGTTTAAGTATGAAATTAATTAACTGCCCAGACGGTTTTAAACAATTCAGAAATAGTATACAGTATATTATAATCACTTTTTTATTGTTTGTAAACATAATTTATTATTTTTATTAATTCCTCAAAAGGATCTCTGTTATTCTTTATAATTTCACTTCTCCATAAATATTCATATATTAAGTTATTAAGTCTGTAAAATTTTCTCTATTATAATCTATATATCATCATCATTACAGCCCTTCACTACAAGTCCACTGCTGAACATAGGCCTCCCCCAAGGAATGCCACAAAGCACGGTCCTGAGCCACCTGCATCCATCGACTTCCTGCATGTCACTCCACTTGTTGGCACTCCATCTAGTGGGAGGTCGCCCTACACTTCGCCTACCGTTACGAAGCTGCCACTCGAGAACCTTTTTTCCCCAACGGTTGTCGGTTCTTCGAGCTATATGGCTTACTAATCCGTTGGGGTATGTCGGTCACTCTGTATCTATATATATATCTTTACTGAAATATCTTTTGAAGATACGCCACTGACACTCAATTCTTTGAGTGTGGGTGAGTAAAATAATGTGACTCTGGTCTTGGGTCCTTGTCGTACATACACAAAATTCTGTGTGCTATCTAGCTTTCACAGTAATATCGTATAATTTTTTCTCGGAAAGGCTAGAACCCAAAACCGTAGTCAGTTTAATTATCATTTTCCATACTTTACGTTTACGCATTTTATGTTATAGTTTTTATTTATTTTTTCGAAAATGGTGCGTTACCTTTCAATGTGAGTGGTATTATTATAATCAGAGCCCAAACCTCTACGAAATAAAACATCTTACTCTCCCAAATTCCTGCCTAACGATTCCAAATCCAACCCAAATGCAGTGTTCGTTGCACAGTAACTTTGCAAATCTATAGCACCTTTTGTCTTCTAATTTTCTTGGACGGATATACTGCGCATGTACCTTCCCTACCTGCGGGTATATTTTATGACCCGATGGCACAAATCGGGCGATTTGGTTTCTCAGTTGTTCGTGCAACGTGTTTACGTTGGATCTTCTAATGGTATATGCTCTAGTCATCGCCAGCACAGCATCCACTTACCATCAAGTGGACTGAGTGCTCGTTCGTCACCCTTATCCTACATGAAAATGGTTTATAGATGCCTCTACCATGTATAAACTGTCTATGGCTTTTTTGGCTTTCTTTTTTATCTATGAATCTGTCCCAATTCAGCAGGGCCTCGATAATCCAAACACACAAAATTTACACCCTGTTAGGATTAATGAGGCAATCTGATTATAGTATGGAAATATTTTTATAAACTAGCCCTTGAAATATAGGTATAATATCCAAGTTTAGAGGCTGTTGACCATTGTAAATTTTAGTACATGTAATGTATTTATCCATAACGATGATTATTATAATTTTAAAAAATCTTTTTTTTTTAGATCAAAAAGATTTTATAATTAAAAGTAAATACAAATTTTAATCAATATGTATTAACTGTAAAAAAATCTTTGTCGAGTGGTGTTTAATGACAAAGAAAATGCTTTATCCTTCAATTTACGCAATAAAATTTTTTTTTTGAAACTAAAATATCTACTAGAGCAGCATGGGTTGTTCAGAATATAGAGGTACAACAGTTTGAATTATCGGGGGTTCGAATTATTGAGGCTCCGTGTTGTTGTTTGAAGAATGAAGAGCCCATAAGCATTACAAGATGTATGAGACTGAGACAGTTGATCTTAGTTCCCATAGGTGCCTTTATTTGAAAAAAGTGTATTCATAAGCTGCTGGAGCTTATCAGGTGGACCAGTAAACTTACTTGTAACTGCTGTCAGTCCAAATAAGTTCAATATCAGATCCCAATAAAACTGAATACATTTCTAAGCTCTTCAAAACAAAAAACCCTATTGAATTGATATGCATACAATCCTGAAAAATAAAACCTCTAATACTTTTTACATTCAGAGACAATCTCGAGTTTAAACTTCACCATGTCAAAAGTCTACACAACTTTTGGGTCTAAGCCATATTGGTTTAATAATAATGGAAATGCATGTCTCGGAAAAATCTATTAATATACTCCAGAGCGATTTCCGGTTACGATGACAATCTCAACAGTGAGTAGCCATCTGTGCAGAATAAAATTTTAAAGCACCAGTGTGTGCACAGAGATGTAGACACTATATTTCCTCAATCTCATAATCTTGATACAACGACAGTGCAACACATGACTGGTAACAGATCAGACGCAGGACCAACTGCTTTACATACTTTTCGAGGTACAAGCGTGAAACACCCTCACCTTCCTGGTTCCAAGTTGCCATTGAGAATTTTTTGACAGAATTAAGCAGTAAATAATTTTGACCCTAACCTCATAACAAGCAGTCGCGCTTAAGATCACTAAACCAATAAAGCAGTCATAGGAAAAAAAGCCTATTATTAATTTCAAATGATCAAATTTGAGTTTTAACTTGTCTCTAAATCATCTTAACTCTGTATTATAAAAAATGAAACTTACATTAGGTGGATAATCTCTGTAGTCTTCCTCCAAGTCCTCCGTCTTCACTTCAGGTTCAGACTTCATACTGAAAGGATCCTCATTACTACTGCTTCTTTTTAAGCTTGCATTTGTACTGTCTGCCAATCAAAAATACATTATTATACAGTATTTATTAATTTTATTATTAGAAAAAATAACTAATAAATTTTACCTTTATTATTATCCATGTTGTTATTCTTAGGCTTGTTTTCCTTATCATTCTTGTTGTTCCTACTGCTTTTATCAGATGCATTATCAGACTCTGAAGACTGTTAACAAAAGGTAATTAATATTAGTGTAATGCAGATACACACAAATTACAAATTTCAATTATTATACTAAGAAAACTCTTACCTCCTGTTTTTCCTGTTTGACATTAGTGTTATTCTTGTCGTCCTGCTCACCAGCCGGGCTGCATGGACTCGCGGGCTCATCTTTCTCTTCTAAACAACAAACATTTTATTGAAGAATATTTAAACAGGACATCAATACAGTTTAATACTATGAGAAAGTCAGTAGGAAGGCAGCATGCGTGTATTCAACACGGATAGTCTGTCCAAGGCACATCGCATGAGTGTCATCATAGTTATATATCACAAGTAGCAATCAGACCTCTATTTGAAAATCTATTTTGGTTTTGGATCTATTGTAGTGATTATTCTCAAGTTCTACAGTCATGTCGTGTACATTAAGACTAGTGAGAGCTTATATTAGTTAGTAATGCTTCATAATATTGGAAAGTTGTTTGTTGTCGGTTATCAGACAGGAAGACTTTATCATTGTGTTCACACTCATTCATTCAACACTTGCCCGTTCGGCAGAAGGGTTGAGAACAGCAGTTTTTATAATTTGTGCTCTAACAGGAACACGCTATCGCCATCTTCATTTCATTTCTGACTGTCGCCTTTAACGATACCTACAGGATGATACGGGTTAGAAGTTGTAATGGCGTGGCGGGGTACAGCGTAACACTATGATAACAAAATTGTTAAGACGTTTTCGCCCTAATTTTTGCTTGGCCAGCATTATGATTGTAGTTGTTTACTTGTTATAGTCATACTGCAGCTGTATCATGGTTATAGCACCACACATGTATGTTGGTGAACCACGCTCTCGCAGAATACCAATTTAAAAAAATACACCTTTATTTTGCTGTGTTTGGTATGGTGGGTGTAGAAAACCAGAGATCTTTATTACAGCAAACGAAGCATTCCATGTTATTCTTCAGGGGTAACGAAGCATCTGCATTTTGATTCTTCATAAAAGATACACGTAGACTTGTATAGACCACAGAGTATCTACCAACCGTCAGGTGGATTGTGTATTCTGTCACCCATATACTATAACAAGTTTTCTCGGCTTTATTTCTAAAACCCTGTAAGATTGGGTTGTTGCCGCAATATTTGATTAATTTACACTGAATTGTAAAATTAATATATTCATGCGTGTCTATGGGTCACAGTATCAACTTACCATCAGGTGGACTGTTAGTTAGTGTTAATGTTAAAAAAGTAGTAGTTGTAGGTGCATACCGTCGTCGCGCTCGTCGTCGGAGAGCGGCTGGCGCGGGTGCGAGAAGAGATCCGGCAGAAAGTGGCGCAGCAGCTGCTTGATGCGGCGCTTCTCCGCCTTCTGGATGCCCGTCTGCCGCCGCGCGTGGTGGATCAGCAGCTCCGCCGCGTCGCGCAGGATCTTGATGCCTGCACACAGTCAACCTCATTCACTTTGTCATAAACCTACAACTTAACTAAACCGTTACTTACAATGGCACCATGCGTATTTTCAACACTGACATTCTGTCGAAAGCACATCGCATCGTTTTCATCATTGACTTGAATTACATTAAATTGACTCTACTTGAAAACATCAGAAAACTCATTTGGGCTAACAGTTGAGCTCTTTAGAAGAGTGTGATGCATTTGGCATATTTTTATAATGAATGTGTGGAAGAACTTCTATCTTACTAACTTAACTTCTATAATCTTATAAAACTTATTTGTAGGAGCTTTTCAACCAGGCCTTCAACTTATTATTATTATGATACTGACATTTATTTAACATTTAAAAAGAAAAGGAATAAACAGAATACCTATATTTTGACTTGAAGCAAAAATATATTGATTTATTTAAGTCAGTATCAAGAAAACTAAAACCTAGGCATCACTCAATAACTCCCTACTTCAGAAGTTATTGTAAACTCAGCTCAGACTTATCTAGGAAGTTAAAGTGAATAATGAAATTAATGGTTGTATTAGAAACTAAGTCTGTAGCAGGCATGGGTAATACACTGTTACCATATGATACTCTAAAGTGGTTCTATTACAACAGGTCGAAGTGGATATTGTAAATAATTTACTTAACCACTCAAACGTCCATGGCTACTACGCTAGCCAAAACAAAAGTAGCGTTGTACGTCCCGGATAGTAAAGTAGTGACATCTAGGGACATTTGCGGCAATTTTTGTAAGTTTTGTTTTTTGGAATCGATAGCTGACGAACTCAATCGATAATATAACTAATTGGCTGTATAGAAACAATATGAAAATAAACCTAGATAAATCAAATTACATACATTTTAATAAAATAAAAACTAATTCTTGTCTAAATATCAATAAAATTAAGGAAATAGAACAAATTAAATTTCTTGGTGTAATTATAGATCGAAATTTAGACTGGAAAATACATATAGATGACCTATGTCAAAGAATTAATCGTTTTGTGTATGCACTATGTACCATAAAAAAGGTAACTAATAAAAAAACGGCCCTATTATGCTATCGGGCGTATATTGAATCTATACTTCGATATGGTATAATAATGTGGGGCAATAGCATAGATTGGCGTAGGGCATTTATCGCACAAAATAAGTGTATAAGGACGATATGTGTTATACCAACTAGAGAATCCTGTAAGCCAATATTCAAAAATCTGTCTTTACTAACTATGCCCTCGCTATATATTTTTGAGATAGGTAAATTTGTAAAAGAGCATACATATTTATTTAAAAAGTCATCTGATATTAATCCTAGGCTTAAAAGAAATCCAAATAGATTAGTTCTAAGCGAAGTTCCGAAGTCAGCTAAATATAGTAAATATACAACAACAAAATACCTGATGAAATTAAAACACTACATAATATGAACGTATTTAAAAAAAGATTGTACCATTGGTTAATTGACAAAAATATTTATGACACTAATGAATTTCTGACATTTTAAACTAGATTTTGACATTGTAAAACATAATTATATTTAAATAAACATGTTTAATTTGTTAATTTTAATACTATATAGGTTATCTTGATTTAAATGTAATTTGCATGCTATATTATATTAAAATAGCAAAACATGTGGGCATAATAAGACTCTGAAACATCTGTATAATTACCATGTTTTATGCAAATAAAGACTATTATTATTATTATTAACTACTTTACGTATTACTAACGAGTTGGCAGTGTAACAAGCCTTAAGGAATGAACCGTAATTATTTAACATCAGTCTACTCTACTCTCGGTGTTTTGTGAACAAGTGTTTGTGGGATGTCAACGATTATGTCGTAAGTACTTTAGTTTTATTTAATATTATTTAGAATATTATACGTCACAATAAACTAGATGATTTATGCTTTATATTTAGGTATACATATCACAGTTTTTAGTGTAAAATCGAATCTTATTTTAAATTTAAAGTATAGCTGTTTCGAAATAAGTAGCCGCTCTCAAGTTGTCGGCCCAAGTTTATTTTTGTTTACTTTGTTTTTCAGTAAAATTATATATAAGCAAACGAGTGTTAGTTCGTAATAAACATAATAATGAACTTTACAAACAGAAATAAACTATATTCATTGAAGATTCGTTAAAAATGTAAGTGCGTTACTTAGGTTTTTTGTTGTGGCTAGTTTTATATCCACGGACTTAACGACAATAGTTCTAAATAATGGTTGGTACAAACAGCAAAACGCTCCCAACGGATAGGTCTTAAGATGAACATGGACAAAACAAAGATTATGTTTAATGTCCATGTCAAATCTATGCCGGTAGTTTTTGGGAGCACTAAGCTCGAAGTTGTTGACGAGTGTACGTCTACCTGGGACAAATAGTCCGACTAGGTAAGTCCAACTTCGACCGAGAGGTCAATCGACGGATTCAACTCGGCCGGGCAGTGTTAGGGAAATTATGACACATCTTCTAGTCAGGTATACCTCAATCTCTGAAAACTAGATTGTACAACCAGTGCGTGTTGCCAGTGATGACTTACGGATCTGAGACGTGGTCCTTCACTGCTGGCCTTATGAGGACGTTCAAGGTCGCTCAGCGAGCTATGGAGGGCTATGCTCGGAGTTTCTCTGCCTGATACCCTCAGAAAGGAGGATATCCGCAGTAAAACCAGAGTGACCGATATAGCCCAACGGACTAGTAAGCTGAAGTGGCAATTGCAATGCTTGAAGAAACGATAACCGATGGGGAAGAAAGGTTCTCGAGTGGCAGCCTCGTACCGGTAGGCGTAGTGTAGGGCGACCCCCCACTAGATGGAGTGACGACCTGGTAAGATATGCAGGAAGTCGATGGATGCAGGTGGCTCAGGACCGTGCTTTGTGGCATTACTTGGGGGAGGCTATGTTCAGCAGTGGACTTGTGAAGGGCTGTAATGATGATGATGATGATGATGATGATGATGATGATGATGATGACAAGCAGCAAAATATGTTTGCCAGATGTTTTGCTTTGTTATTTTTTACGGTCTTAGTCTCGGGTCGTGCTGGTTTTGAGTTTTATTTCTTAATAATTTGTAATGATTCTTAATCATAATCGTGATTTTTAATGTTTCTTTAACACATTATTATTGTTTTTTAACATATATGTATCATAAAAAAGGAAAATACGTCTAATTTGTTGTGACTTTATTTTATGGGTAAAAAATACAATATTTTTTCGTTGAGGTGTAAATTAATAAAATTTATATGTTTATTTTTCTCCAAATTCAATGTTCACAACTATTTTAATATCTTAAATAACATTTTTGGATTTTAAAACATACATAGGTTTAATTCGCATTCTTCTGTCAATTTTTAGTAGTTTTTGTCTCTGAAACAGAAACAGAAACTTTTTTATTCAATGTAGATTATAAGCAATACTTATTGAAAGTCAATTTTTTCATTTACCACTGGGTCGCAAAAAAAACCTCTGTCCTGGGAAGAACCAGCAAGAAGTGGGACAGCGGGACTATTTTTTTTTTAATTAATAGCTACAATCATGTTTACAATTAACAACACAAGACAAATTAGAAATAGCTTGGTAGCAATCACCCTTCCCAGGGGTTACCATTTTCATTCATTCATTTATCCATAAATTCCTTAATATTATAATAAACCCTTTTTATACAAACTTAGTTTAATAAAAATTTTTAGTTTGCGTATGACAAATTTTGTATATTTTCTGGGATTTTGTTGTAAAAGCGTATACATCGCCCCAAGAATGAATTACTGACTCGGTGGAGTCGAGTAACTGGTACTACTAGCTTGTGTCTGTTCCTAGTATTTACAGAATGAATATCACTTATTTTTGCAAAACTACGTTTATTCTTGTGTACGTACAATACATTTTCATAAATATATTGAGAGGCCAGAGTTAATATATTAATTTCCTTAAATTTTTGAGTCAGTGACTCTTTTGGTTTTAAATTATATATTGCTCTAATGGCCCTCTTCTGTAAAATAAATATAATTTCAGTGTCATTCGCCTGTCCCCATAGCAAAACACCATACGACATAATGCTATGGAAATAACTAAAGTAAACTATTCTTGCTGTTACAACACTGGTAAGAGTTCTAATTTTTTTACAGCATATGCTGCAGAACTAAGTCTGCTAGCTAGTTTTGATATATGGGGGAGCCATTGAAGCTTTGCGTCCAGTGTGATTCCAAGAAAAATGGTGGTATCAACAAGACACAGTTCTTCCCAATTTAAAATTACATTCGTATTAACATGTTTGACATTAGGAGTTACGAATTTCATACATTTAGTTTTAGTTCCATTTAAATGCAAATTATTAACATTAAACCAATTAACTACCTTAGCTATAGCATTATTTACTTCGTCGTAATTTAATAACTGTCGTTTTAATGTATTTTTTTATTCTAATATAAACAGGCTGTGGTTTTTAAGGTCACCTCAGACACATGTTTCTTATATCCGTTTTTTTAATGTACATTTTATCTGTATGCACTTTGCAAAATTCAAAAGAATTAAAAAAAAAATTCTTTTTGATACTTTTTACGTAGGTTTCAGTTTTGCAAATCGTGTAACGTTGCGTTATGTTTCAACCTAAAGCAAGATTGCTGATACCTACAGTACCATTCGTAAATAATTAGTACTGTAGATACAGTAAATCGAGTAAGTACCAGGAGCCTTTTAAAGAAATGAGTACCCATGTTATATATTTATTCAATTTTATACTTATATACATCCATCCATATAGTTTTTATAGTTGCCTAGCTATAATTTGTTCATCTGATTAATTCAGACTATCATCGTTGAAATAGTTAAGTTACAGCCTGTTTACGTCCCAATGCTGGGCCTTACCTCACTTCTGAGGGGTTTAGGGCAAAGAAGTGTCCGCCGCGCTGCCCCTATGCGTGTTGGCGAACTTCACATGTCTTCGAAATATTTTTTCTTATTTCTCAGACGGTCAGACTTTCTCACGACATTTTCCTTCACCGCCAAGCACGTGGTAGATCAGCACTTAAAATTGCAATTAATGATTTCATTGACGCCAGCGGAGATCGAACCCGGTTTGCTAGCGTACTGTGAAATTTAACGCGAGAGCTAACCATCTGAGCTACCGGTGCTCCTCTGATCCACCACGGTTCTCATCATTGAAATGAATACACCTTCTTATTTTGTATGTTTTCTATAGAATAGGGTGACAAACGAGCACACAGTCCACCTGATTGTAAGTAGTTGCTGCGGCCCGTAGACATCTACATCTATCCTCGATTACAAATGAAAATGCAGATGCGTTGTCACCCGTGAGACTAAAGGCTTCGTTTTCAGTAAAAACCGTCTCCGGTTCTCTACACTCACCATACGAAACACAGCCAGCATCAATCTAATATTTCACGCTGGTATTCTGTGAGAGCGTGGTCCTTCCCCGGTCGAGCCGACCCATTCGTGCAACAACTATACTACTAATATAACTGCAGCATGGCTCTACCACGTATAAAAAATGTTTTAATGAACTAGTACATAATGCACAAAAAGTGCAAAATCGGACTTCAATTTTGGCATATTTTTGGAGCATAAGAGGTGGGTTCTTTAAAAATATATATCCATAATATTTTTTTATTTCAGAAAGAGATTTTTAAATGTTATTATTTAGTAGATATTATTTGTGTTAAAGGAAATATTACCTTTTTGAGAAATAATGTTGCTAAAATTATGTTGGTTATTGGAAATGTAATATAATCGTCGCGCACCCCGCGGCGCCTCTGAAGGGGAAGCCTTTGTCAATCGACACTATTATGGCGCATTGAGTATTGTTTACAAAAAACGTTATTTTAGACTCTACATCCACGGGAGTGACCCTTGAGTGGTTTTATGGCTTTTAAAGGAATGAATGAATCTTTATTTCTCTACAAGTGCTGTTGAAAATTGTTTGCTCAAATAAAGTAATTAATTTTTCAATAAATATGGCACTTACGGCAAAAATTTTGATATCGGCACTAAGAATACTTATTTCATAACTTTATGAGATTTGTAAAACTTTGCAAGATCGATTTAAAGATGACTAAATCATGTAAGGAAAAAGAGAGGTTCAACTAGTCCTGGAAATAAAACCAAATGTTTCTTCATGAATTTAAGTATATATATTTAATGAAATAAAAAAAAACTAGTGTTAATTTTATTGACTAATGCATTAAACCTTTGACTGCCGTGTCAGTCACTTTGTACGGAGTATTGCATTTAAAACGTGACCGACGGCAGTTTAATTGTTAATGCCGCATCTGGTCCGAACTACATTCTTCATCGGTGTAAGCCCCTTTAATGGGGCAGGGGTGCGAAGAATCTCCGGGAAGAAAACCGGCGACGAGGTTCGCCACCCGTCACGTTGTCTCCCGGAGAGGCGAAAAGTGGAACGCAGAGGCCCGTTTGGCTACGTTGAATGTATGTGGGGCAATGAATGATAAAATGGATGAAGTATGCGATATGATGTATGATAGAGGAATAGATTAGAGACATGGCATTAATACCGCATACTGGTCTGGTGTAGACGAGATCGAGCGGGCATGCCAGGGAGTAGGTATCATCCTTTCAGAAAGAATGGGCCAATGTGTGAAAGAGTATGAATGTGTAAGCCCAAGACTGCTATGGCTACGAATGAAAGTGGGCTTAAAGAAGTTGTTTGTGTTAGGGGTCTACGCCCCAGACATGTCTAAGCCGACTTATATCCGAGAGCAGTTTTGGGAAATGGTAAGGATGGTGTTAATGAAGTGTAAGGGAAATGAAAATATTATTATGCTAGGAGATTTTAATGGAAGGGTTGGGGTCAAGAGGCTTGGTTATGAAAGGAACTTGGGAATGTTTGGTGATGAAAGTATTCTAATTTAGAATGATCAAAGCTCCTCACCGTATGTATGGAAAATAATCTTTTTGTGACGAACACTTGCTTTCGCCACAAGAGGATTAACATGTATACTTGGGAAAGAGGTGACGATAGAAGCATGATAGATTTCATAATTGTGGATGAAAGATTGAGGGGCGCAGTGGTAGATACGAGAGTTTACCGGGGTTCTAACGTAGGAACGGATCATTATTTAGTTTTATGCTGTATTAATAGTCTATTCAGGCGTTGGCGCCATCGATCGTCTGTGTCTACCACTGCGTTACAGCGTATTAGAACAGAAAGGTTACAAGATGAAAGTGATAAAAACAAGTTCAAATGTAGACTGAAAGAAAATATAAGTGGTTTGGATGAATTATGTATGAAGGAGTTAGACTTGGAGAATATATGGCAAAATGTAAAGAAAGGTTTAGTGGATGCAGCTACCGAAGTATGTGGTGTTAGTAAGAGAAAGAATGAAAGGAAAAATAATACGTTATGGTGGGATGATGAGATATGTATGGAAGTTGAAGCAAAGAAGAGAGCATGGCTAGATTTACTAGCAACAAAGGCTGGTAATTCTAGTGGTACGAATGGTGATATTGAAAGAAAAAAGGCAGTCTTTAGACATCTTAATAAGAGAGTAAAAGAAGTAGTTGAAAGAAAAAAGCAAGAAAGAACGGATAAGAATGATAGAAGAATATCGGATTACTTCCAGGCAAATATTAAAATGTTCTGGAAACTTGTAAGAACTGCCAGGGGACATTCAAACAGCCTATGATGAATGCTATAAGAGACGAGAATGGCTATATTCTGAATGATGAAGTTTTGAGTTTAAAGAGATGGAAGGAATATTTTGAAAGCGTGTTTATGAGTGAGGAGACAACGTGTGTACTAAGTGAAGTAGAAACACCGAAAGAAGAGGAAAGAGGTAGCGAGATAAGTATAGATGCAATAATGAAAGCAATGAAAAGCATGAAAGCAGGTAAGGCTGCCGGATATGATAGAGTTTCACTCGAAATGCTAAGGGCTGGAGAGGAAGTGGTGGCAGGCCTGCTGCACACCTTGTTTAATTTATGCTGGGAACTGAAGCGGGTACCGGTAGACTGGTGCAAAGCCCAGTATATAAAGGAAGAGGGTTGCAGCAGGACTAAAAACTACCGTGGCATCAGCCTTCTTAGCATTGTGGGAAAACTGTATGCTAAGGTACTGATTGAAAGGGTCATGAAAGAAACTGATGGAAAAATTTGGGATGTGCAAGCGGGATTTAGAAAGGGAATGGGATGTACAGATAAAGTCTTTTCCATGCGCATGATCGCGGAGAAGTTTCTGGCCAAAAACCAAAAGGTTTTTTGTGCGTTCATGGACTTGGAAAAGGCCTATGACAGAGTGGATAGGGATTTGCTATGGCAAACACTGAACTCATTTGGGTTGAGCGCTGGCTTGATACAGGCATTGGAGTCTCTTTATAGGGACTCTAGTGCTTGTGTTAGGATCAACGGGATCTACTCGGACTGGTTTGACATCCATAAAGGTGTCAGACAGGGCTGTGTGGCTTCCCCGTGGCTGTTCAACCTATTTATAGACAGTTGTTTGCAAAATTTGAAAGTTGAAGAATGCGGATTAAGAATGGGTGAGTTAACCGTCAAATGCCTTTTGTACGCCGATGATCAAGTTATTCTTGCGTCGTCGGCGGCCGAGTTGCAAATGATGGTTACATTAATGAACGAATCATTAAAACAAAGGGGTATGAAAGTGAACGCAAGTAAGACGAAGGTTATGGTTTTTGAAAGAGAAGAAAGTAAAAAGATTTGTGAAATAAGAATAGAAGAGAAGTTGATCGAGCAAGTAGATGAGTTTGTATATTTGGGCTGCGTATGGCTGCGTATTTAGCAGGGATGGGAGATATGATAAGGATATAGAACGATTTGGTCATGTGGAAAGAATGAATGAGGAAAGAGTGACAAAGAAAATTTATGTTGCAGAAGTGAATGGCAGAGTTGGAAAGGGACGTCCTAGGCGAAAATTTATCGACCAAATTGGCGATTTATTGAAAACGGGCCAAATTAGGAGAAACCTTAACCGACGAGCATGTATGCGTAGGTGTATGGGTGTGAAGGAGGCGAGAGAGGTGTGTCAGGATCGTGCCAAATGGAAGTCTGTAGTCTCTGCCTACCCCTCTGGGTGACAGGCGTGAGTGTTTATGTATTATGTATGATTTTGCGCATAAAATATTGTAAACAATAGATTTAAAATTAAATGAAAATAAAATCGAAGTATTAAAAAACTTTGTTTCATCGAGAAATATGACAATTTTGTCTTTATTCAATATTTACTTACACTTATTACTCTGGGAGTTTATTTAATTTATGTACTCGTTTATAGAAAATTTCATAGAGAATTCAGAAATGTATATATACATATTATAGTATTTGATATACTAAAATCAAGAAATTTGTGTTTAAACGGATTGCGCCCAATGCGCCGTCAATTTTATTAAATAGCTCCGCAGTCAACGGAGTATGACGGTTAGAGTCTCCGCAGTTGAAAGGATATAATATCTCGCATACAGTGCACCATATCATGGATATTTTAAGATATTATTACATCAAATTTGATGTTAGATGTTCTGTGAAGTGACGCTACACTACAGCTGTCTGTGGGTTGATATGTAGATATCGGATATTGTACGGATATATAGATCTTGTATGTATATACAATTGAAATCGCCCACTATACTACCTACACGTCTGTAGCAAGGAAATGCGAAAAAGAAGAGTAAAATTAGATTAGCGTTAGGCTGGCGTGATTCAGTCGAGTTAGACGTGCGTACCCTCTTGGCGCGAGTGCAGGCCGTAGTCCACGACGAGGTGCGGCGGCGGCCGGCGCGCGGCGAAGGCCGCCTCTACCTCGTTGAACAGCGACTTGGACCGCATGGCCTTCAGGTCGTTCTGCTTGAAGTTGATGCCCTGGTGGTCCAGCGACTTCAGGTAGTACTTCTCGTTCTGCTCGCGCCACTGCTTGTTAAAGCCCTGCGCAACAATAAGCAATTATTAAAATACTATCATTTTTATTCAGATTACATGTCATTCTTATGGAAACTACTTTTACCACTGGTTTGGTAAACCTCTGTCCTGGGAAGAACCAGCAAGAAATCCAGCAGCACTTTTTTCTCTCTAAGTAAATTATACAATAAGAAAGGTACAAATTATTTACAAAGATTTGCATTTGAAGAAATTGAGATGTTCCAAAATGTATGGAGCCTGGGCCAGGTCTTTCTATACTATACTCAAAAATAGGGAAACACATTTTAAACGGTTCTCAACCGTCCAATTATTTTATAATGGCTTTGCTTGCTGGTAAAGCATCGGAAATCACACTTGAAATTGCAACACACAACAAAATCCTGTCATGGCGGCAAGCTGTCATTTTTATTGATTAGTGACGTTTGACATGTTTATTTCATGTATTTTTCACACTGTTGTGACAACAGACAGTTCTCTTTCTATGAACTGACAGTTCTCTTTTTCTGATTAATTGTCACTTTATGGTTTACTGTCATGTTGAAAGTCGATAAAAATAATTGATAAGCATCAATTCATGGAGCTATTTTTAGAGGTAAGGAGGACAATCTTCCATAGGAGAATAGTTGAACATGTGTCCATCCGTAAGCAGTAAATAACAGTTGAAAAACTTTCCACAACAGCGCTCGAGTAGCTTCAGGGTATGACAGGGTATGATAAATCGCAGTAAAATACGTGGAGTGATTTTGAAAGCAATAAAATAATTATTTTAAAAAGAATTATAGTGAAAGTCTGTGCAATAAAAAATTATAAATACTGTATACTAACCTCAAACTCTCCCAGCTGAAGATACAGAAAAGAGATTGTGGTGTTTGAAATTTTAAAAAATGTGTTTTGTTACTAGTACTTTCATATGCATTTAATACTATTACTTACAAACAGACACAAATAAAGAATAAGAATTATTCATATGTGTATTAAAGGGATATCATTACTATTTAATAAAATAATTCTCTCCATAAATATTATGCTTTTCTTGTAAAACTCGAAATAACAAATAAATACGATTTCTTAAATTTACGCGAACACTACACATTGAATAAAACTATTATTTACGGATTTTATCGCGTTTAATTACTTTAATTTATTTTTATTATTATCCCGACGTTTCGGGTGCTTTACAGCGCCCATGGTCACGGGGGGGACTGAGATGTTTGACGTCCCAATGTCATAGTTAGTCCGGCTACCTTCAGTTTTTTAATATTAAAAAAAAATATATTAAAAAAAAAATTAATATTAAAAAACTGAAGGTAGCCGGACTAACTATGACATTGGGATATAAAAAGATATTTAAAAGTGAGCCTGGTGCTGTAGCAGTACTGTAGCAGTACTGTACACTGTAGTGGCGCCACTCTTATTTAGCGCACTTTTTTACAGTCTCCTTACCTCTACACTCCATACATCAATTGTTTAACATGACAGGATACATTTAAATGATATACATGTATTTTTCCCGAATTCTATAAATTTTTCTCTTTTTTTGTAAAGTTAGTGTACATAGACCTGGCCCATTTTAAAATATCTGCTTTATTTTTGAAACAGCTTTGTAGCGACCACCTCACAGGGTAACCCATTTTATACCGATTTCATTTGATGAAATAAGTAAACTTGGTAATAGAAATACCTTGTATATTTGCTGGGACTTTTGTAATAGCATATACATTGCCACATGAATGAATTACTGACTGTGGAGTTGACAAACGGGTATATAGCTAGCTAGCGTTTGTTCCTCTACAAGTTGTTTATAAAATTTTTGCAAAAACTACTTTTGTTTTGGTGAACGTACATGATATTTTCGTAAATATACTGAGAACCCAGAGTTAATATATTTATTTCTTTAAATTTTTCTCTAAAAGACAACGAACACCATCAACATTTGTCATCTACATATATTGACCTTTCTCCGATAGTGTCGGGTTATTGTCGCATTGAACTATGAGAGTAAGCCAATAAAGAGTGCACTTGTGCTTGCACCTACATTGAGCCACTACAATTCTGTTCTTTGCATATGGTTCTTCTCCGTTGAGACTAGCCACCGTGACCGAAATTCGGTTGGAAGTTAATTAATTAGATCAGATATCTAATTAATTAACTTTCCAACAGTAATGACACTATTAAAACTTCAATACATTTGTGGATTCCTACCCAAATGAACACATAAGATTACTAAACAGAATAAGAACTCTGCCATCTAGTATTAAAGTAATAAGAAACTGGAGCGCATTTTCATCTATCGTTACCTTTTGCGCTTCTCGCCATTCTTCCTCCTTCGCTTTAAGCCGCCTTAAGACGACTGGCACGGCTACTGCGGGGTTCTTTTTCAGTCCTGCGATGATGTCCACAGCCTGCAAGCAATACACACAAAATTATTCATGACAACCTAAAAACTTATCCATGCAAAACTGTTAGCATGCCATTTAACTAAAATGTACTGTCTACACATATACATAAAAATTTGAAGAATAGAAAATATTCTCCATGGTATCAACAACTCTTTCAATCATAAGAACATGCAATAAAACATATAAAAAGGCTTAATTTGGCCCAAGCTACGTAAAATAGTTTGAAGCTACTGAAGATTTCATCCAATATTTCATACAGATTCCAGCATTTATGAGAATTTATTACGTGCTATATATAATGAAACAAAATAGAAGTAAATTATGAAGAATATTTTGTGTTGTTTCATTATCATTCGAAACTCATGTAAACTTCTGAGTCAAGGAAAAGCGGCCACACAACCTTGTCATCATATTGACCAGAGGCAGACGAGATGTCGACAGCGCCAGAGGCTAACACCTCATCGACAGTCATATATTATTAATAATTATAACCACTTATTTTGCAAATAAACCATATTATAATTTATTCAAAATAATTTGATTACATGTACACTTAACAGGTGGGTATGAATGAAAAATGTGATGGGAAAATGAAGAGGGTAATCAAAGTACACGATTTTTTTAGTTCAAAAACTTGAGCGCGCGCCTGTATTTGACCTTGCGCCCTTAGGCCTGGTCCCTTTTTGCCTAAAGGATAATCCGCCACTGTCTTTTACATTAGAAAAACTTTTCTTTTCAAATGCCACCTTCCACTACCATTTCAAACATAGGCAAGTGCAGAAAGCATGTTCTATATAAATGGAAGATTATGTATGTATATATTATAGGGTGTTGCGGTGGTGGTGGTGGTGGTGGTGATGGTGATCGTGATGGTTGATGTGGACATGCGTAGAGCGGTCGTCGCCGTACCACCTTATCACCGTAAATGCGGCGCAGCGCGCGCTGATGAATGGTGGGCGAGTGTCCGCCCAAGCAGTCGTCAAGACGGTACTTGGCAGCCTCCTCGGCGCTCATGCGAGATAGCTTCTTCTGTACGCCCTCCAGCACTCGGATCGTCGCCGCATTCGTCTCGATCACCACGTCCAGCTGCCCAAATAAAATTAAATTACCTTACTTTTTCTGTAAAAGTAGAGTAACAATCCCGAGTTCCAGCCCACCTGACGGGAAGTGGCCCCTGCAGCCCACGGGCACTGCAGCCAACATTAAACAGACAGGCCACAGGTGCGTTGTTGCTCCTAGCAGACATTCATTAAAGAATACATTAAGGTGCAAAACATCTGATACTGCTATCATCAATCCGCTTGCTTAGTTTGATAATAAACGTAAATACTTCTTACATCGGAAATAACCCCATATCTTTCTTGCAATGGACAAAAATGAGGCCTGTGACTGATGATGAAAACAATATGTATATTAAGCTTTATATGTAAATGTTACATATTTTACTATGAAAGAAACTATTTATATTCTAAATAAAATAAGAAATTATTATTCCAATCTATCTACCTCAAATCTCTCATCTTCACATCTATATATATATTCTTCATACTGGGTCTTGCGTGATGTGACAAATGTTGAATCTTCACTCCATGTCGGTATAGACACCCATGTGTCATTCAATACCTGAGAAATCATTTACAGGTTAGATTAGGTTGTAATTTGCTATAAAGGAATTTATTATTAATGAAATGATTTATTTAAAATAAAAGAGAAAGTAGTTGAGTTTTATTTATATAAGACATCAGTAGGAAGGCAGCATGCGTGTACTCAACACTGGCAATCAGTCAAATGCACATCGCATGGTTTTCATCATTGTCTTAAAAATAATGTCTAGTAGACTGGAATGAAGTTGTATATCATTTCTTTCGGAATCTTCACTTTTATAGATTTTTTATACAATATGCTGATGCATGCGCCACATTGTGAAGTTTTTGGGAGATTTTGACGACAGATCGAGCACTTGTTTCGTCGTTTTCTCTAATAGTTCACACGCGCAGACACTTAATTCATAAAATCACATCACTTTTACAAATCCACTTCAAACCATTATTTAAGTGATAAAACAGGAGCAACAATCCGTCGACGGCTAGGTTCCCGCCAAAACTCCACGACGTGCCCAGCCGCATGTAATGTACAGTGCACAGCGTAACGTGCAAAGCAGTACAAAGCTCACCTCCTTGCAGAGCGGCGTGCGGCCCGAGCAGCGGCGCGCGGCGGCGTCGCGCGGCAGTGCGCAGTACGACGTGCCCAGCCGCTTGCACGTTGTCAGATCTGCGTCGCACAACGCACAAGCTTTATAGATATATACCTTACACTACACTAATTCACAACCCATATTGTGCCAGTATCAATGCGGGTATCGCAACATGCGACCGAGGGAACTGAAACAAGAGATGGCCATCTTCCTGAAAGTAATTTAAAAAAACTGCGGCCGGCAACTCATTTGTCAAGCTTAGCGACTTTTTTATAGAAGAGGGGGCAAGGAAGCATGCGGCTCACCTAATGGTAAGTGACTACCACCGCCCTTGAACTGCAATACCAGACCAATGACAGATCATTGCCTGATTTTCAGAAAGTAAAAGTTTTATTTCTTGAAAATGAAAGCAATGGGTGCGTTTGGCAGAAAAAAGCGCTAGCAAGCGCTTATAAGCGCTAAAATAGTTTTCGGCCAGGACACGATTGCTACTTCAGTAGCGCTGACACAATCCGCCATTTTGCTTATTTAATTTGTTTGTTTTGAAGTAGAGTTTATAAGTTGTTTTGTGCAATATTAGTTTTAAGTAATATAATGACATGAATAAACATATACATGCTATTAAAAACTCATGATTGGTAAGTTTTTAATATGAATACTTTACAAACATATATTTAAATTAGGTTAGATTCCACGGTTAAAACTAACATCGTGTCCTGGAGGAAAATAGCTACTTACGATTTGACAGCGCTTACCGCTTACGATCGCCATTTTGCTTACAAGCGCTTGCTAGCGCTTTTTTCTGCCAAACGCACCCAATGGCAACTATTTATTTATTTTATTTGCTTGATTTATATAGGGGTAGTGCACGTCCAACAGTAGAAAATCCGTTTAAATGGTGTTTCTATCCTCTTCTCATTTCTGGGCAAGGAGAAGTCCGGCGCGCTACTCCAGTGCGTGTTGCTAACTTGCGTCTTCAAAATCTCATGTTCTCTTTCGTCGTAAAGCACGTGGTAAATCAAAATTTATAATTGTAATTAACAATTTTATTGGGATAGAACCACCCAAGTGGTTCGTGTACTGTGACATTTACAGCGAGCACTTAGCTGCATAGGTATCACGGCTTACTACTCAATAAATCATACAAATATTCCAAAGTTGTAATGTATTTCACTAGTGTACAACATGTTTGGTTTCAAGGTTTTCAATCAGCAGCCTGCCTGCTTAAGAATAATACTAGGCATTAATTTCAAGGAATGCGTAGAAACATAACACTGTATAAGAAGTGGTGACAACTGCCTCGGTGATCTAGCGGTCGTAAGCGCGACTGCTAATAACAAATCAGATATTACATTTACATGACAAGATTTTTCTGTATCAGAAAGTTAATTTAATAAAAATAAATGGTTTAGTTACCACACAAGTGGGTCGAAGAAAAGAAAAAAAATATCTTTGGATTTACGAGCGGATCGTAGTACGGGCATGCGTCAACTAAACACTGAGATCAAGCTGAGACTGATTTATTCATATACATCCTCTCAACTGTTACAATAAACTCTTACATGCATCATGAATGTAGATGGAGCCGCTTGATAAGTGAGAGGTACAATAAAATGTAACAATCAGTAGTGGAAATAGTCCGTTTGTCTGAGTGTTGTGAGCGTGCAGTACGCAGGTGCAGGTACCTATGTCCATGGCGGCGTCGCCCTGCACGCGCTCGTTGCGCGGCTGCGCGCCAGGCTCATAGCGCTTGCTGTCGCTCAGGCGCTCGCGCGTGTAGCCCAGCAGAGGGCCGCCCGCGCCCACGCTGCCCACGCCGCCCGTGCCCGCCGTTCCGCCCACACCCATATACCCCACCGCTGCAAGCAAACCACTTGTAAATAAATACACTCACATCTTTCCATATTTTACAACTTAGCTTATGATGCTTTCTGTCATATATATCAGAATATTTTAAAACCATAACTATACCAACTTTTGTTTTATATATCATTTTTATCTGCCACCCACTGCACTTTTATAATTAATTTTCAGTTTGTACATAAATAGATGGTAAAAAGAGTTAAAACCAAATTTACCATATTCCATATCTATGATAAGAAACAACAAGGTACATGATATTTTGTCTCTGCTAACCGTTAAGTTGGTTGGTGCTCAGCGTTGTGGGTGTGAGTATGGGCAAACCTTTTAAGAAATACTTCACATTTCTCTACCACACCACATTTTTATAAAAAATTCTTCAATCAATCAACAACGGACTTAAAAAGCCGAAAATGAGGTAAAACTTTCTCAACTAATGGATTTTATTTTCGAAATTGAACTGAGACATTATCATTAATTAATGTATATGCCTTAATCATATAGCATTTTATGGACAGAAGCTAAATTTGAATATTTAACAAACAAATATTACCAGTATGTTGGGGCGCAGTAGTAGGCGTATGCGGTGGCGAGGGTGGGCCGACAAAATCCTGCAGCCATTTCTGCAACTCAGGGTGCCGGCACAGGAATGGGCTTGTCACCGACAGCAACTCCGATGACGATATTATCTCATTTGTGAACAGCAACAGGCACCTGTTTGGATAATAAACATTGTAATAGAAACAAATATATAGAAAAGAATAAAATTATGTAAGTTTATTTAGCTAATGGGGTTAGCAATATTGACTTAATAAATCAATGATTTCAAAAGGAAGGATAGGCCCATCTAAATATTTTACTCATAACTTTTTCATACAAGAAAAAGTAGCGCATCTGTCATAAAATTCATAATATAAACGTCATAATTATCATCAACACGACGTAACCAGGGTCTGATTTCGTAGTATAATTATTATCCTAATTGTACCATTATTTCATAGTTTGTAGTATGTAGTATCGTAATAATACTATGCGAAAATACCATAATTTTACCTAAAGGTCGACTTGTATTATTATTGGGTCCTTTTACTTTTTAATAACAACTCTACAATATCGAGAATTTCTGTATTGTACATGAGTACCGCATTTTTTTAATAAAATTCGAATTACCTCTCTTTCTGTTCAATCAGTGCTCAATCAATGCATTTATGTTGCATCTTTGATATAACTATAATGGGGGGCTACCACGATAAAAACTCTAAGCTCTACGCAATCGGCTTGAAACCAGAATTTCAAAAATTTTTTTTTTATAGAAGAGGGGGCAAACGAGCATGTGGCTCACCTGATGTTAAGTGACTACCGCCGCCCATGATCAACCGCAACACCAGGGGAATTGCAGGTGCGTTGCCGGCCCTTTAGAAAGGAGTAAGCTCTTTTCTTGAAGGTCCCCAGGTCGTATTGGTCCGGAAAAATCGCCGGTGGTAAATTATTCCACAGAGAGGTTGTACGCGGAAGAAAACTCCTTTTGAAACGTACAGTGGTGGACCGCCAAGCATCCAGATGGTGTGGATGGTATCGGGACGTTTGCCATGTAGTGCGTTCACGAAATTTGGCGGCTGGGATTAATCCGAACAATTCCTCAGAGCACTCCCCGTGATAGATGCGATAAAATACGCAAAGAGATGCAACATCTCTTCGCAGCGCCAGTGAATCGAGCCGATCGGAAAGCACTCGGTCGTCGACGATTCGAGCCGCTTCGTCTCTGGGGAGCCCCAGCCCAGAGATGGGAACAGTATTCCATGTGCGGCCGAACCTGCGCCTTGTAAAGTTGCAGGTGGTGTGCCGGCATGAAATACTGTCCCGCTCTGCTGAGCACGCCAAGCTTTTTAGAGGCCAATTTGGCCTTCCCTTCCAAGTGACCACGAAACTGCACGTCACTCGATATGTCGACGCCGAGGATTCCGATACTATTTTATGAATCAGATAATATTTTATGAATCAGATTTTCAGATTCAATTAAGCAGATATGGTTTCTTTTGTACTCTTTTCATTTTACCCTTATTGAATATAAAATATATTAGGTACCAATATTCAAAATTTAACTTATACTAAGTTCTGTAGACAAAAATTAAACAGAAATAAAAATAAAATCGGCAAAAAACCAGAAGTATAAATAAACTAGACGCGTGATGCCAAAATCCCGGAACGTGAAAAAAAAGGAATGAACCGTCAAACATGATGTAATTTTTGAAAAATAGTATATCTAATTTTATTTTCCATGTACAATATTTTTGAGGGTCTGAATCCAACCCTGGCCTAATCTTGGTAACAAACTAAACTAACTGTAAAATAAAACTTTAAAAATGCGTTTATATAATAATTTAAAATTAACAAAATGAATATAAGGTTATTTTACCGATGATACGATATCCCGTTCCTATTTAATCTTTGTATCGTAATTTTTGCACTCTTTTACCACGCAACTAGACATATTTATGACAGGCAAATCTGTCTTGCGCGCGCACCACTGTTGACAGAGTCGCGTTGCCCTTAAACTGTAATTTTAGGGCCAGTGCACTGGTCTGTTTTATTTGTTCAGTCGGCCCGGTCCTTACGCTAGTAATATATAAGTCAATGTAATAAATACACTTTTGTTTATGCCGATAGAAAACTTTTTTTTTAAAACGTTACCCCTATACACTAGGATTTTCTCCTGTATCGTGGGGGCAGTTTACAAACATAAATTGCACAAGGACAAACATCCAGACCCGGAACAATTATTTGTAGGCAATACAAATACTTGTTCCGTGCGGGATTCGAACCCGCGACCCCCAGCGCAGCCACTCATTGCTAAGCCACTGCGCCACGGAGTCGTCTAATAAACACTATAAGCCATACTCACTCATTTTTAAAAATTTCTATTAGCATATAATATTAATGTAATAGATACGTTGAAACAATAATAATCTAATACGGTAGGACCGTGGTTACTCAGATATTTAAACCTCGCTGTAAATATCACAGTATGCGACTGACCTGGGTTCAATTGCCACCAGCACCAATGAAATTGTTAATTGCAATTTTAAGTGCTGATTTACTACGTGCTCGGCGGTGAAGAAAAACATCGTGAGGAAACCTGCATGTCTGAGGAAGAAGAAAAAAATATTTCGAAGACGTGAAGTTCGCCAAAATGCATTGGGGCACCGCGGCACACTTCCTTGCCCTAAACTAAAACCCTCTCAGAAGTGAGGCCTGTGCCCAGCATTGTGACATATATAGGTTGTAACTTTATTTTAATTTTTATGGTGGGACTGCAAATTTAAAGTCGTGGATCTGAAACCGTCATTTGTCTACTGCGATGAACCACTCTTAGCATACAATGCAAAGGTGATAAACGGGCATAGAGTCCACTTAATGGTAAGTAGATGCTGTGGTCCATAGAATAAGATAATAGAATGGGGGAGTGGACGGAGCCACTAAAATGTCACTAATATGTCAATTCACACATATAAATGTCAACACGAGATGTTTTGACGTTACAATCGTTTCCAGATTTCGCATGCAAATTATTTAGAAAATGCCAAATTACACACTATTTACAAATAAATATGTATTAAAATTTAAACTATTTTTTAATGGTGATCTTGAACATAAATCAAGTCTAAAATGTGTAAATTTAGTCTGTCAACACAGTGAATAGGGTTCGTAGTAGTGATAATACGACGTAATTGCATGTATGTGTGCTCCCGGCGACGCCGAACCTCGTACAAGGTTGACAGCCGTTCTATTGTGTCTTCTATGCTGTGATCAATAGACATCTGCATTTATTCTCAATCAAGATTCAAAATGCACCCTACCCTTGAAGACATTGAGTTTGTCAGTTCCAGTAAAAAGGGTGTCCTTATCTTTACACTCACTGTATGAAACACAGAAGCATTAAGTTGTAATTTAATACTGGTATACTGTTAGTGAGGTCCTACCTTTGTAGAGCCGAACTGTTAATGCTATAACTATAGCTGCAGTGTGGCTCTACCGTTTAAAAAAGTGGGAATATTTATAATATCAATATCATAAATAGCATTTATTAAGCTATTGCATAGCTTCTATCGCGGGCCTTGAGCGCGGGGACCGAATCCAGAAATTCCGTAACGAAAAAAACCTCACGCTCCCCACTCCGACGGGCACAGAGGTGTGCCGTTGAAAGCCGTGGATCGTCTAACGTTGTTTCAGTTCGGCAGACTTCGGCACTCGACAGAGTTCGGCACGGTATTTGTGTGCGTGCGACTATACGTATGCGTGTACACTAGCTGCTCACTCAATGATAAAAATTCCTGAATAACCTACATGTATTGTAAGATATTAAAAATATTTTAAACAATATTAACTTCTCATTTATTCAATAAGAGAAAAAAAACCACGCTCAAAAAGTGTAACTTGATTTAATATCAAAGACTTAACTGCATAAATAAAATAAATAAATAATTGTAATTGCAAAGTTGATAAAAAATGCTATGCAATAGCTTTACCGCGGCAGTCACCGAGTGTCACACGTATTTTTATATAAATATTTAATAATACTAAGGGTATACTTTGTAATTATTGATTTGAAATTATAGTTTTACTGGCGGTTAGAATTATTATTTATTTTGGTTACAGTGTAATGGCGGTGAAAGAATATCCACAATCATACCTTCCTATTATAGGTGTTTTAAGCCGCGGTTTCCTTGGTTAAGGTGGCTCAAGTCGTGGGCTCGAACTCATTGGTGGGCGCGGCCAAAAAGCACGTTGTCTCACCTGGCATCGTGCCCGACAGAGATAGTACCAGTGAAGAGCAGTTAGAACGCACGTCTTGTTCGTACGGCGTTCCGAACCGTTAGAACAAAAACGAAGTTACACGAACACGATGCACACATACATACCACCCTATTCTGTGCCGCTCGACGCTTGCTAAGAAATATGCAGTACCTACCTACAAACTCGTACTAAATTATTAGGCACTGCGCTACGTTATCGCTTTATAGTATACCTCTATGGCTCGATAGATACCTAATATAGATTGCTTATTTTATTATGTTTTGTTTTCCCCGGGTGGTCATGCAGCGATCACTCAAGAGTTCACGACGCCGAAGCATGAACTGGAACAGTCATCGCAATTTATATCCGTACTAGCTGTTGCCAGCGGCTTCAAACGCGTGAACTCGAAAATTATCCCACAGGAACGAAATACCTGAATAAACGGTATCAAAAAATGTGTTATTCCAGACCAGGTATAACCTATCTCTGAGCTAAATATCATCCAGATCCCTTCAGCTGTTCTGGCGTAATTGAGTAACATAACATCCATCCAAACTTTCGCATTTATAATATTTAGATAATAATTGTAATTAGTTCTGCCTACCTATAAATTGTTTTCAAAAATACTTACCTGTCTTCTTACTTTTTTTATATACACACAATATCACTAGATGTAAACACATGTTTTTATCAAGACAAGTGACCCGTCAAGACTGTTTCCTTAGTACCGACGTACTTAGGCAGGTAGTAGTAGGTAGGCAAAAACGATTACTACTGAAAAACTAAATAGGTACCTACCTAACATTCAAATAAAAATATTCTCAAAAAGCTCAACCAATTCAGAATTTAATTTTGTTAAAAGAAAATTGGTCAAATAAAAAATAAAGGATGAAAATAAAGCATATGGGAATATAAAAATAAATCGTATTTATTTGAATAAAACTATTATTTACGGATTTTATCGCGTTTAATTACTTTAATTTATTTTTATTATTATCCCGACGTTTCGGGTGCTTTACAGCGCCCATGGTCACGGGGGGGACCATGGGCGCTGTAAAGCAACCGAAACGTCGGGATAATAATAAAAATAAATTAAAGTAATTAAACGCGATAAAATCCGTAAATAATAGTTTTATTCAATGTGTAGTGTTCGCGTAAATTTAAGAAATCGTATTTATTTGTTATTTCGAGTTTTACAAGAAAAGCATAATATTTACTGGAGAGAATTATTTTATTATTATAATAGTACATGATATTCCCTTTAAAATGACACCAATATGAATAATATCTTATATCTATATCTACAAATAAATAAAATTTAAGTGTCTGTTTGTAATGTTAAAATAACAGCTTTTTATTAAATGCATATGAAAGTACTAGTAACAAAAACACATTTTTTAAAATTTCAAACACCACAATCTCTAATTTTTTACTCTGCTATCTTCAGCGCTGTACACGAACGGAACGATGTCGTTGAGAGCCGTGGTAGCTCACATGGTTAGCGCTCGTTATAGGTATCACAGTACGGGAGCAACCCGGGTTCGATCCCCACTGGCACCAATGAAATTGTTGCGTGCTGATTTAGCTATCAGTTGGAAAGTCTGTTTTTCTGGGCCGTTTTGTTTTGTTACACTGACATCTCGCAAGTCACCTAGGGACCTAGGAGGTTGTCGGTTGCTTATTTTTTATTTTTCTTTAAAATTTTCGTCGGTAAAATAACATATTTATAAAAGTAAAAAAAAGTAAAGTTACAGCCTATATACGTCCCACTGCTGGGCACAGGCCTCCTCTAATTTCTGAGAGGGTTTTAAGGCAAGGAAATGTCCGCCACGCTGCCTCAATGCGTGTTGACGAACTTCACATTTCTTCGAAATATATATTTTTTAATTTCTCAGACATGCAGACCCGAGTTCGATCCCCGCCGGTACAATGAAATTGTTAATTGCAATTGTGCTGATTTACCACGTGCTCGGCGGTGAAGGAAAACATATTGAGGAAACCTGCACGTCTGAGAATATAATTATAATCGAATGTAAATCAAATTGACATAGGTAAGTACAGATAAAATTAGCGGAACATTAATAAAATTTTGAGATCGTTTTTTTTTTTCAAAATTTTATTTATATATTCCTCTATTTTTGTCTGTGCTTATATCAATTTGATTTAATCCAAAGTTCAAGCAGGGGTCAATGTAGCGTAGTAATTTAGAGCGCAGGTATAGCTATAGTCATACGAACGTCACAGGCCGCAGCTGACTAAGTTGAATAAAACTAGAATAAGGGCGCGTCACCGCACCGGGGGAAACATTATTCAGTGAGATGCACGATAATTCATATAAACACGCGCGCGTAAAAAAATACGAAAAGGCCTTTGGAAGGAGGGGTTTTATGAAAAACCCACTGCATGAATCAATTACCAATAAAATTTATTGAATTCTTCGATAATTGAGCTGTGTCGGTACCGACTTTGTTTTGGAAATTTTACACTGCTTTTATTACTAGTTTACGCCCAAAGTTGTGTTAAAATTGGCAATAAAAACGAATCTTTGGTAGCTCGTAACTTTTTACTGACTTTTTATTTTACTATTCTGTTTCGGTACAGACAAAATTAATAATGAGACGAAACGATATCATGTTTAACTTTGGATGTACACTGTCAAACAGCGGAAGTAAAACCCCTCCGAAATTTCTATGGAAATAATGTCGACTAGAGTCACCTTAAGATAATTATGTGCAGGAAAATCAAAAGAATGTTTTCAGGGTTGAGGCTGGGTACCTGAGGAAGTTATCGTAGACGTGCTGCGAACGCAGTGCTTTCCTTGCGCGGTCGAAGAAGCTGTAGTCCTGCGCGGTGGCCAGCTTGGCCGCCTCGGCGTACGACACGTCGCGCAGCGCACCGCCCGCCCCGGCCACGCCGCCCGTCCCGCCCCCCGCCCCGCCGCCTCCGCTCGGCGGCGTCGCCGTCATTGACCGGCCCTTCTTTGGAGGCGGAGCGCCAGACGCTGTGTCGCAGTAATAGGAACTAATCATTTTCCGCTCACCAGACAACGCTGTTTGGTACTGAGGTATACATTACAATTTAGAACTTGCGTTATAAATTAAAGTTTACCGGTTTCTGAAGCATTTAAATACACAAAACTTAATTTTTTGTACATTTTTAAATGCTTACGTTCATTAAAAAATATCCATAGTTCAGTTAATACATACCTAATCACATTAATACGAAATTTTCAAAAAGATAAAACATATAAATCCCCCCATTAATAAACTATCGCTACACTATGTGACGGCAGTATGAAAGGAATCTTCACCCAACTTATACTATGAATATCCTATATGACGACTAAGATACATGCTCGAAATAACTTACTTCCTTATTAAAAAATAGTATGACAGTAATAGCAAAATTACTCCCACACTATTAATTTAATTTAAATTTATTAAAATGACATTTAACAAGTTGTTATTGCCAAGATTACTCACCTATTTGACTGGAGGATGTGAAACTAGGCGATCTCTTTAGGTGATGATGTTGAGGAGGTGGTGTTGGAACGCTCACGGAAGTAGTATGCTTTGAAATCTGTATAAAAATTATTATTAATAAAAAAAAGAAAATGTTATATGTATCAATAAATTGGTGAAATTCTGGGAAATCATTTAAAAATTCGGTAGTTGCTATATCAGCCATTTTACATGGAGCAATTCATACAAAACATGGCAAGTGTTATTAACACTTACACATCAAGAACTAGAATTTTTGAATGTCAATAATTTAAGCTGAACAGTAGTCTACATTAATTTCTTAATGGTCATGACTTTTTGAAGATTTTCTCTTTACATTTTATAGTGCACAAACGTGTAGTAGTTATTCTTATTTATAAAGCTTACAAAACTGCTTTTTAAAATATTTAGTTACGGTGTTTTATTAACCTAAATATTTATGATTCTACACATAAAATGATGGTAAGTGGATGCTGTGGCCCATAGACATCTACATTTATCCTCAAATAACAATCAAAATGCCGACGCGTTGTCCATCCCTGAGGACTAAGATGGAATGCCTCGTTTCCCGTAAAAAGGTCTCTGGACCTCTACACTCACCATACGAAACACAGCAGTATGAAGCTGCTATTTTACGCTGGTATTGTGTGAGAGCGCGGTCCCTCCCCGGTCGAGCCGACCCATTCGTGCTACACCCATATAGCTGCAGCATGGCTCTACCACATTTGCCTCAATGGGGTGGTTTTGATGCCATCATTAATAAATACCAAATAAATTAGTTGAAAAGATCTTCATTTAAGTGAATTAAATTTCAAATATTTAATAACGTACAAATGAGATGATAATTGTGTGTTGTTAGTTTTGACAAGTGTTAAAAAGAATGTGGCAGGGTTGTAGTGCATTGGGCACTGGGCGCGATATACTCACGGGTGCGTGGTGCAGCGCGTGCGGGGCGGGCAGCGCGGCGGCGTGGTGCGGCGCGTGCGGGGCGGGCGGCGCGTGTGTCGCGGAGAGCGGCGCGTGCGGCGGCGGCGCGCCCGGCGCCAGGGGCGGCGACGCGCCACCCACGAACCGCTCGCTCTCATTCTGCTGCACATACATACGCTCTGTACTCTCCATTTACTTTTAAATGCCCCGGTTACTGCTGTCTAACAATATCCACTACCCTGTATCATCCCATAAGCGTCGTAAGACACAACTGAGGGGAAAAATTAAGGACGGGCAGCAGCATTTTTCCAATAACAGTTAAAAATAAAAACTGTCAACCCACTTGCTTGACAACCATAACAGCTATAGCACATATCTGGTTGTTAGCCGTTTGACCAGCAAGTACTCTGTTTAACTTTCTTAACCTCTAGCGAATATATAGATCTCAAGTTTCTTATTTTAGTATAAACTTCTTTACTTCCCAACCCTAGAATATTCATAGCTTCACTTATAAATAGAAATGCCACATCTTGGACTCGTTTAATTTTGCAGTTAGGATATTTACTATTGTAAAAACATTCGTTTTTAGACCCTCCTACACAAATTTATAGGTTATGGTTTTCGGTCCACTTTGCCATTTTTGCAACACAACCAAGCGTCCGATGCTAAGCACTAAATACTAAACAATGTTGTCCAGACGTGTTTATTGAAGGACATACTGTGAGTGAGGGGGAAGGGAGGACTCAGGGGACATGGATACTCGCAAAAAATAGAACACGCTTCTAACCACTTTACTATACATATTACTAATCACTTGCACTAATCAATCGCTGTCCACACGTGTTTACTCCTAATCAATAAGCACCTATACTAATCTGCACTAATCACTAATCAACGTGAATACAGGCCTATACAGTATACTGAAAACAATAAAAATAGTTTTATTTTAACTTTTAAGATAATTTGTGTTTGCTGTGTAGACTACACTGCTAACAAAATCTCTTAAGAAGCGACGGAAAAAAATTAATGAAATGAGTAGAGTTAAATTTACTAAGCATGTGGTAAAATCCAAGGAAAGAACAACGTTCACAGAATACCAGTATAAAATGACAACCTAATGCTGCCGTGTTCTGTATGGTAACTAAAGAATCTGAGACCCTCTGTACTAAAAACAGTATATCCCATCTTAGCTTTCAAGGATAACATTATCTGCATTTTTATTACATCAAATTTATTACTTTAATATGCTAAAATAAAAAAATGAAACAACTAAATTGTCATGTTTCCTAAGTTGATTATATAAACAAAATAAACAACAAAATAGGAGTGTAATTTTAAGCTTAATCCTTTATAAGAAGAGCGATACATACCTGCGGAGGTGGCGGTGTGCGAGAATGCGACGTGTAGTGCGGCGGCTTAGTCACAGCCTTCGCATCCGGCAGGAACTGCCCAAACTCCGCCAGCAGATCTTCCTGGTTCTCAAACAACTTCGCCACCTGGTACACACAACATTACTCTTGCAACTATCTCACCTCACACACATGATAAACTAAAATATTTTACACTAGCTGTGCCCGCGGCTTCGTTGGCACCAGAATAATTTTTAGTAAATTAGTATTATGAATCGGATTTTTTTGACAATTTTATTGGGTAATTTTTTTCTTTTATTTTTGAAAATTTTCTAAAATAAAAGTAGCCATGTTACTCCTTATAACAAAATACAAAAGACAGATATATATTTATTTATTCATATAGATCTGTGTATACAAATGAGTAAATTGAACATACTAAAGAAGTCACAGTAGAAAAACAATACCTGTGAATAAACTTCTTGCTCGGTCTGCTGCCTGGCTTGTGGTTCCTTAACATCGCGGTGGCCGCGCTGGTACGCGTGCAGGATCTCCAAAAACCGCTTGTACTTGTCTGGCTGCCGCGAGAACCGCGACTACACAAATATCAACCGTAAATCCATTAGTGTACATAATAGACTCGTTTAAAAAAATGTACAGGTTGGCGCAATAGAACATGCATATATGAATAATTTATACAAATATAAACATAATATGTTCAAACCATAGCATATAATATATGCTATGGTTTAAATAAAACTATGAATCTATAGGTTAATTATGCTGTTCATTTTTAAAAATAATATCATCTAAATGATGGCCCTCTCTGGCTGCGTCGACACTCCTCTAATCGTGAGCGCAGATTACAGAACTTTCTTCAGCATTGTTGGTGTGAAAAACATTCAAGAGGTGTTAATTCTGGACTGCATGGTGGCCACAGAATGTCACCTCTTCTTGAGATCAGTCTAGTTGGGAACATTTGTTTCAATACCACAAGACATATGCCATGTGACAGGTTGATTCATCTGGACCAAAAATCCCTTTACTTGATATATACATTCACTATATACAGTCACTAGTTCTAGGGATTTCATTGCTCTAATAGTAATATTGTCCCTTTACGAAACCATACAAATGGAAATGGGCCTTATCAGAAAAAAGGCTGCCAAATTTGGAAAATTGTTCAAGCATTTTTATAGCAAATGTCAACCTATGTCAACCTTGCTCCGAAGTTATTCTCTTTCAGTTCTTGCGCTCCTCTCTCTCTCTCTCTCTCTCTCTCTCTCTCTCTCTCTCTCTCTGAACAAGTTAAGCAATTGTAATGGTGCACTAAATAAAATTTGTGAATTAATTTCGCGTTTAAAGGAACAACACCTCTCGCCTCTTCCACGTCCTACGCTACGCATACAAGCTCGTTGGTTAAGGGTACTCCTAATTTGGCACCTTTTCAATAGATCGCCAATTTGGTCGACAAACTTTCGCCCAGGGACGTCTCTTACCGACCTTACCACCGTTCACTTCTGCAACATAAATTTGCTTTGTCACTCTTTCCTTATTCATTCTTTCTACCTGACCAAACCACCAAAGCATTCTTTCTTAATCCTCATTATCTTGCATAACACATTTCTCTTATTACATAATTTCTTACCCATTTACTCTATTTCCTGCGCTCACTCGTTACAAAAATTATTATTATAAGCTAATAATATAAATAACTAGATAAAATCAAATACAACACTTTGCAAACTTCATTGTGATAAGTGTTAAAACGGCACACTCCTATCCTATGGGTACACGCTTGAGGATTTTCTTTTCTTTACTCTCTCAATATTGTGTGCGGTCCTAGATATTTTAGGATGACCATTAGTTTGTGGTTTAAATGTGGAAACGATCTCTGCAAAACACTTAATGCAAATTTTAATCAAATTGCACTCGGAGCTTGACGAATTTGTTGTAATCCATATTCAGAAAATATAGTTGCCTAGTTGTGGTTAAAGAACGACCATTCTCGTAAAACGTGCATACGCAAAACGCTTCCTGTCAGCTCATGGCTACTAAAACTGCACCAGTACCCAAACACACTGTTTCCCTTCTAGGCATGTCCAATACCCCACGAAAATACATGATGCAATAAACACGTTCTATTGTGCCAGCCTGTATTATATCAAAACTCAAACCACCCTTTGGCTACTTTCACAAATCTCATCTGTTAAAAACAGTGTAGTCACAGTTAGTTTTTATGTTCTAGTAGAGCTATTTATTTACATATTTTACTAATCATTAGGAATGACAATGTTTTAGTGTGGACTTTTCTGTTTACTGCAGGCGTCTGAATGTGGCAGTCCTCAGCATAAATTGATTTTAGTAATTTTACATAGGGAGGGATTTTGTCATAGATGTTTTGCTGGCAAGTGTGTGTGGGCGGGTTAAAAACAGCATTTTTTTTAAATTGTTATTAGAAAGATGATGCTGCATATATTCTGTTCAGTTTCCCTCTGTCGCTTCGTACGACACCAACTGACAATATAGGTAATGGACATTCTTACAGCATCACTACACGCTAATCTCCCTATGTAGATGTAGATATCTATGTGGGACACCTTAGTTCAGCAATGGATTTTTGTAGGCTGTAACAGATGGATGGATAGTGGAATATTACATGGTGCAATGCCCCCCACATATGAAATAGGAATGTAAGTTAGTGTGAGAGCAACATTATAAAAATAGTTATTCGGAAGTTATTCGGAACATGTAAGGCAATCCTCACCTTGATCTTGTTAACGTATTCAATGGCGTGGTTGAATTCGACGGGCTGACCCGCTGCAGCTGCGTGCGCCGCGCCACCTGTCCATCACAACAGAACTAATATTCGATATAGCTATGAGCTATGACATAAGTAATGAAGCTGTTTCTTTCATTCTCTATGTATTATCAAAATAAGAAATAAAATAAATTCGACACAAATGTTTAGCTTTGCACTAGGGGAGGAAATTCTCAGATGTAAATTAGCATGTACATGAACATCAAGCATTGGTTGTTAATGTAAATGGCTTGGATGGTATAGAGCTATGAGACAGTTTTAACATCTTATAGTTGTGAAACGCTTTTGATATACGGCGATGCCGCCGCCCGCAGTACGTTTTTATGCGGCAGTTTGTATGCTAGGAGCTGTCATGAAAATGGAAATAAAATGATTTTGAATATTATAATCATAATTTATTAACCTTATGTACATACTTATAAGTATATAAACGTTTTTACGTTTATTGAACAAGATCATTTCTTAAAGACAAGACACATTTTCAGTTTGCACTGCCAAATATTTTCGTGACTATAGATGTTTTCAGTTTTCGATTATTAAATTTAATTACGTAGAATTTCGTTAAACAATTTTACTTAGTAACTCATATAACTATAACAGTAATTCACCATTCCAGATGTTTTACTTTTCGAAAACGGCACTTAAAATTAGGAAAAAACACGCTCACGTCAACCGTCTATCAGACTCAATAAAATTCGATAGCACAAAGTCGTCCCGCCCCCCGCAGCAACTGTAAGGTCTTTAAACTGGATATGATAATGACGAGATAATGAACTTTGAATATGTAATTGTAGTAGTATAAAACTTTACCTTGACTGTGATGTATGGAGGCAGCCTCAATTTGCTGGTGGGCTTGCGAGATATGATGCAGGGTGTTGGCTGGTGGAGCGCTTACAGACAAGTTGTGCACAATAGCACCGCTCACCGACCTGAACAAATGATACATATTTAAAATTGTGCATGTGGAGTATCTGACTGAACAAGTAAAGAGACGATGAGTTCAGAACTTAAAAAGCAGCCATTAGTTTTATCATTGCAGTCAAACGGTAATTTGTTTCATCATATAGGATTGAAAAATGATAAGGCGGGGTGAGAGTAAGCGACTATGACTAGATGAATACTTATCACCCTCTGTCAATTTCTGCCCACCCCTCTGGGTTATAGGCGTAGGTGTTTATAATTATTAATATATTATAATAGTGAATGAGTGTGTGGTGTGTGTGTGTGTAGGGGGGGGGGGGTGTATATACTCACTGCTGCACCGGCAGGAGATGCAGCAGCTGCGGTTGCGGCGGCGCGTGCTGCACGCCCAGCAGCACGCCGCTGCCCAGCCCGGTTGGCGACGGCATCGACACCGACACCTACACAAACAAACGCATTTATCATCAGCATCAAGCCCACTTCACTGCAAACACAAAAAATAAATAAATACTATATACATATAATAAATTGTTGTTAATTAAACTAAAAAAGAAAAGAGTTGACAACCTACCAACCACAAGAATATTGGGATGAATAATTTTTTATTAAAAATTATACATGACAACAAGTTTGTTTTAATGAAGCACAATAAGTTATATTCATTTTTATTATAATTAATTCATTCAATGTAGGAGCATCAACCATATTTTGCGTTTTTTATTCCAGTTGGTGACAGCACGATCTGTAATAAAATTCTTCATAGGATTCCGCTTGGCAGCCCTATGGTAAAATTTAAGTTGATGTCCTCTCAGACGTTTGTTGCTATTCAGTAAGTAGAAATTTTGCGGAGTAGGAACATCGTAATATTCTGTCAGTATTTCATGTTTCAATCAGACTACCTCTCTGTCTACTGCACTCTAGTATCATGAGGTTAAGCTTTTTCATTCGCTGCTCATATGTCACGTTTTGCAGTTGTTTTACTAATTTTGTCCTGCCTACCTTTGAACATTTTCCAGTATACCTTTATGGAAATACGGGTCACATATGCAAACTCCAAAAGAGGTCTTAAGTATGTTTGTTAGATCTTGATAAATGTTTTAGGAGTGAGACACGTAAAGCTTTTTCGAATCATATGCATCATGGAATTTGCCTTTTTAGTATGTTAACAACACATTGACTGCGATTGTTTTCCTGACTTATTCACAGTGCTTTACAGGAAAAATATAACTTGTACACTGTCTAAAATCTAGTGTGTTACCAGACATAAACAATTTGTACAGATCCCTTCATCATTATGGCTATATTTCCCCAATAAACCGAAGTTAGACCATTTTAATAATAATAAAGGTTAGTTTAAGAGTAAAACTAATAAAAAGTGCCGTAGCATCAGCATTTGATAAGTATTTTAGAAAATAGAAGGCTTTAAAAACCCCAGTCTTTTTACCTGGTATAGCGCCAGCAGAAATAGCAACATAAGGATATCGACAAAATAGCTAATGATAAGAGTGAAACTAAATTAAATATATCGAGAGTATCTATATTTTTTATTTCGTATCAGCTAAAAGTGTAAAAAATAGAGATTGTATCAGTAGCAACGGCTCCGTGGCGCAGTGGCTTAGCAATGAGTTACAGCGCTAAGGGCCGCGGGTTCGAATCCCGCACGGAACAAGTATTTGTATGGCCTACAAGTAATCGTTCCAGGTATGGTATGATGTTTATCCTTGTGAAATTTATGTTTGTAAACTGCCCCCATGATACAGAAGGAAATCCTAGTGTGGAAGTAACATTAAAAAAAGAAAAGTAGCTGTATTATAATTATCATTACAAATTATTAGGTTTTCCACGACTATTCGAATGAGTAATTAAAATAGTTCAAACATAATGTTACACACATTCGGCACAATAGGTTTTTACTCTTGTCACTTTTATGAGCTTCTCTACTCTCAACTTCTTTAAGCAATTTTTATAACATTGAGCACAATTCTTTCATTAAACTAGGAGGGAAAATGGGCACTATTTGAAGTTTGGTTAAACACATTGATAACGTATAAAACTTGGATTTTCAATGGCATATTGATTTTTTGCTGCCCAGAAATTATGAAATTATGATTATTTTTTTCTATTCGGTCAACCACGAGTTGTCACATTCTACGTGGCAGTTTCATTGTGAGTATTTAACTGTTTATGCAATATTCTGTGAAAATATTGAAGTGAATAAACCCTCACAATCGATACACAGTAATTGCATAACGCACTAACGCTTACTGAGGGTTATTTGCTTGCTCCCGTGGTGCAATACCAGACAAGTGCGTACAAGTCTCATATTACTGGTACCGCACACAATAAATATTTTTGACAATTTGTACATACAAGACAAAAAAACTTGTATTATTTAGATAGCAAAAATTGCTAGAATTTAGGATGCTAAATCGAAACTATTTGTCTCTTCTCTTATTACAAATATTGTAATTGTTGTTGTTAATTGTTACATGCAAAAATGAAACTACTAATTGACACATCCTCTGCAAGTCCTACAAGTCAAAATTGATCGGTAACACATGCAATGTGTTAAAAATATGTGAGTTTATGAGTTTTTGTTCATAATCCTATTTAGGATTGACCTTTTACCATCGTTCACCGGCTGAGTTCAGAATTGTTGTCAATCCACCAATAGTGGTAAACTTTTGCAAATATCCCCCATATGAGACATCCCATGGAGGAGACCTATCGAGCAGTGGACTTTAAAAGGTTTTGATGATGATGATGATAAAACCATATGAACTCAACCACTTCTCCTCCCATTCCACAATTTTTTAAGGAAATGTTTTTTAAGTGTAAATATAAAACATTGACTTACTAGTTCATTAATTAATTTAGGTAATTGGTGCTTTTAACTTGTTTACCATTAAAATTATTATATTTGAGTATGACAAGTGTGACTTGTAAATATTAAATAAACGCTTCGTTTTTTTAACATCGATTTTTTTAAAGACCGAAATCGACCCTAGAATTTAATCTGAAAGTAAACTATTTCGATTCCAATGCAGTCATATAAACCTGACGAAAGTTCTTACCTGACCATTGCTTTGAACTTCTATCTTGTAGCCAGGCGGAAGGAAAGTGTTGAATCCAACTATTAGTTCAGGGTGACCTTTGAATAGGTTTGATACTCTCTTGATGACGCCCGGGGTGTCGATACTAGAATAATTGGTACTGTTAAACAAAGAGGTGCGGGTAGTTTGGGAAAGTGTATAAGAAACAATTAACATCAGTTTAAATAATTGCAGCCATGGGTTATCGTCAAAGAAATCAAACGGTAATTTGTTTCATCATATATATCTTTACTTGTTTGCATGCATGCTTGAACAAAAAAAAAAGAAATATTAACATTTATTCATGATATTAGAGTTAGAACAAATTAACGGAAAATAGTAGCAAACAACATCTTAAAATTTAATTTATAGTCCGGCTAGACCCAAAGGTATTTTATTTTAAACACCAATTATAAGACATGTTTACATGTGCGTCACTTACGCGTCTCTTCCGCTAGCATTAAATTTGTATAAAAAACAGTATTCATCACAATAACAAGACAAATTGCATCAATATGTAAAAATTGGATGAATAGTGTATTGGACTCATTAATATTTCAAATAGTAATATAGTATTATTATTTATTACTTTTAGGAACACATCACTGAAATGAGAAAATGTTAAGACATTTGATGTTAAACTGATCTCTTTTTTCTCTAAAAAAGGAAGCATTAGTATTCAGCAGTGGAATGCAGATATAAAAAATTATATTCGTAAATATTGTTGCACTTTCATTTAAAAGTTCGTACCTCAATTTTACGAAGTAATTTCTTAGTGAACATAAAGGGGTGTTAAGGTATAGCAAAAGGAATTATTAATTGATATATTCTATTCACGAAAAATAAATTACTTGCAAGCAAGCAATTTTCATAGTAACTAACACAGCCCAACTCAATAAGTTGAAGTGGCAATAAGTCGGCCATATAGCTCGTATAATCGACAACCAATGGGAAAGGTTTAACCGACAATAAAGTGGCAGCCTCATACCGTAAGCCAAGGTTAAGGCGGTCCCCACTCAATGGAGTGACGACCTGGGAAAAGACGCAGGAAGACAATGAATGCAAGTGGCTCAGGACCAAACTTTGTGGTGTTACTAGAGGGAGTAACATGTTCAACACTGGACTTGTGAAGGACTGTAATGGTAATGATGATAATCTACTTTTTTTGATAAATGTATTTTTTTCTTCATTCTTCCCCTTAAGTTTCTTCTGTTGCAGAAATATTTTCTTTAATCGTCACGCTAAGCAGGTAATAGAATTATATTAATATAAAATTAAGATATATTTCAGTGTACATGACATATTAAGAAAAGGTGTAGTAATTGGGACTTACGTCTGACTCTTGAATTCCTTCATAATGTCGAGGAAGTCATTGTAGACTTGAGGCTGAGTGTTGAACTTGTATTTGACCTGGTCCAGGTAGGAGAGCGCGTCTTCCACTTTAAGCCGCTGGAACTGTGCGGCGGGCGGCCCGCCGGGCCCGGGCGGCGGCACGCTAACGCCCACACTCGCTCCCATGCCGCCCGCCACGCCAGCCACGCCACCCACAGTGCCCACGTTGCCCACGCCAGGCACCACGCTCGCTACGCTGCCCACCACGCCTGCCACGCCGCCCACAGCGCCTGGGGACTGTCGCCCCAAAGGCGGTGGTGCGTGTGCCAACTGCACAAAATGTCTCATTTAAATAAGCTCACAACATTTCATCAGTTATATTAGTATTGAAATCAGACTATTATATCATAAGCAGATCTACAGTATAATTCAGGAGTTGCATCCTAATCATAATATTATTTAGAGCAATATTATGTTCTTATATTCAATTTAATACAGTAAGTAGTAATGTAAACATTCAATGATATCCACTAATTGATAGAATTATTCCATAGTCTGTCATATACTAGGGGCTATATGAAGTCAGATAAAAAATTTGCAGCCATTGATTATCGTCACGGTAATCAAACGGTAATTTTTTTCATCATCCTTCATGCAGACATTTGTAAAACATTTGTATAACATATAAACATATACATATATAACAACTGCATACTATATTAAAAAATAAAAGAAAAATTCGATACATTCTGAAGTTTTATTACAGAAAAGGTTAAAATGCGACTCAAGCCGCGAAAAAAATTGTAACGTTTATGGACCTAATAGTGTCATTAAGAGGAGCACAAAGCTGGTTCAAGTGTTTTCAGTCTTGGATACGGAGAAGTCGATGCAATTTTTGAAAAATTGGAGCAAGATCGGCATATTAATAGTTACAACGTAGCCAAGAACTTGAGGATTGACCACAATACAGTTTTAAGCCATTTTAAAAAGTCTGGCTATACAAAAAAGCTCTATATTTGAGTGTGTGGTACCCAAATATAGAGCTTTTATTTATTTATTTATTTATCTATATTTAGCTTACGTATATACAACACGTAACATAATTAACGCACTTTGAGAAAGTAGTTTGTTCAGAATCGTTTACTGAATCGATTCCTATCATTTTTAATATAAGTAATTTTTATCCCAAAAATAATTAAAACTACGTAAATTACAGTCACACTAAATCTGTACAGTCAAAACAAACTGAAATGGACCGTAACTTAAGGCAATAAGACTTTGTGCAGTTTTATTTGTATTATTACTAATTTTGTCATTCAATAAAAATAAAGAAAAATGGACTTTATTTCAAGCACGTCTTTGCGTTCGTGGATTTGTACTATGACCACAACATTCTTCCGGAATTAGTATAATTTGATAAATAATTAGTGCATAAAAATGTTTCTAAAAATTCAGTGTATGTATTATGATTATAACATAATATACTAATTGCGGTGTCTGAAGGTGTGCGTTAATTACGTTACATATAAAAGAAACTTAATGAATCGTGTACTCATTTGCTATCCTTTGTTGAAACGTAATGAAACCGAGCCATTTTTGAAAAGATTGATCACTGGTAATGAAGTGCATAACCTACAGCAAGAACGTACGAAAAATATCATGGTCAAAGTGTAGTAGTAGTCAAGCTCCACAAACTGTAGCGAAACCAAGATTAACATGCAATAAGATGATGCTGTGTTTGGTGGAATTGAGCTTTTACCGCCGGGCAAAATAATCTATTCGGAGCTCTACTGCCAACAACTAATGAGACGCAAGCAAGAAAATAAAAAAAAAAAACGGCCAGCATTGACCAACATAAAAGGAGTGGTCTTTCATCATGGTAATGCTAGACCACACACATTAGCGTAATGCATCCATCCACGGAAGCGTTAATGCATCCACCATTCAGTCCTAGACCTTGCACCCTCAGATTTTTACCTGCTTCGGTCACTTCAGAATTCTTTGAGCTGTATTAGGTTAACATTGAGAGATCTACTTGTCGCATTTTTTGATCAAAAATCGTAAGATTTCTACAGCAACGGGATTATGTAATTAACCTACAAGATGGCAACAAGTTATCGACCAAAATAATGGCACGTAGGTATATATTTTGTAATTAAATGTAATTAAATTTAAAAAAAAATGTCTTGAATTTGTACATAAAATTAGTGATGCAACAGCAGTGTTATATATCGGAAGCAGAAACAGAAACAGACGTAAAAAATATTTTTTTGCGGAAACGGAAACAGTAACGGATGCGGAAACGGAAATAATACTTATTAAAAAAATTACAAATAAAACTTTTAATTAACATTCAACATTATGTAGCAGTAAGTTATATTTTATGAAAAGTAGTTCGGCCACTTTTACACCTAACAATCTGTTCCAGTGTTCTTCATATATAAGTTCAGCTCCGAAAAATGATAATTATTGCTATAGCAATTATTGCTCACTGGCGATGCTGCGTTCCACCTATACACTAAAGCTAAATAGGCACTGAAATTTGGGCAAACCCGCATTTAGCCACATTTAGGTTTAGCGAGTAGGTAATTTAATAAAGCCCTAACACGAAAGTACGACATAAATAAACTTTGAATCCAAAATACTCATTAAAGTTTCTTTAAAAATAATTATTTCTTACCGTGATCATGGTGCTGGAAAGCACCCGAAACGTCGGGTATTAAAAATAACATAAATACGAGGGTGGATTGAAAAGTACTCGGCCTAACCAAGAAAATAAACACATACTAAATCAGTTATATTTTTATTTTTCTACATAATCACCATCAAGTTCAATACACTTTTGCCACCTCCCCTTCCAAGCATTTAGACCGTTGAAAAAAAATGATTCTTCCTTAGAGTCAAAATATGCGTCTACAGCTGCTTTGACCTCGTCGTTTGTCGAAAATCTTTGACCTCCCAAGTGCTTTTTTAGGTTAGGGAACAGAAAGAAGTCTGATGGTGCCAGATCAGGTGAATACGGCGGATGTGGTAACAGTTCAAAGCCACAGTTGTGAATTTCAGCCATTGACTGTACTGACGTGTGAACACGGGCGGTATCTTGATGAAACAGGACTTTTCTTCTGAGCATTCCTCGACGTTTTTCTTTTATTTCCTCTCGTAAACGACGTAGTAAGGTGCAGTAGTAATCAGAGTTTATAGTCTGACCCCTTTCAAGATAATCAATCATAATCACACCTTTCGAGTCCCAGAATACTGAAGCCATCACCTTATTTGCCGACAAAATCGACTTAGCCTTTTTAGGGGGTGGTGAACCAGGTCTTCCCCACTGTTTTGATTGTTGTTTTGTTTCCGGTGTACAGTAATGAACCCATGTTTCGTTCATAGTAACAAAACGATTCAAAAAATCATCTGCATCGGCTTCAAATAACTCCAAACAGTCGCGTGAAATAGTCAATCGCGTCCTTTTTTGTTCAACTGAAAGCAGTCGCGGAACCCACCTCGCAGACACCTTGTGGAAACCCAACTCGTTGACAATGATGTTTTGAGTTCGTTCATAAGAGATGCCTATAATCTCGGCTATCTCTCTAATTTTTAATCTGCGGTCTCCCATTATTAAATCAAGTACTTTTTTTAATATTTTCGTCAGTAGTTGACGTCGAAGGCCTTCCAGAGCGGGGTTCATCTTTCACACTCTCTCTACCACGCTTAAATTCTGCTATCCATTTTTTGACGGATGAATATGACAGAGCACAATCGCCTAATGTACTGACCATGTCATCATGGATGGCGTTTGATGATAGCCCCTTCTTATGGAGGTACTTAATGACGGCACGCTGCTCGATTTGCTCCATTCGCGGAAATTATGTCCGATTACTTTGTTAATAAATTTATAAAATCACAACTAATTATCGCACACGTTTCGAACTTCACACAATGAACTAGTCTGAACTGAACTGAACTGAACTAAATAAGATTTGATTTTTAGAATTGAATGGATCTGTGTTAGGCCGAGTACTTTTCAATCCACCCTCTTAAACGCGATAAAATTCGTAAAAGGAGTTTTAATCAATAAAAATACTTAATTTATACTTCAAGTAAAAAATAAATAATATAAACTTCAGGCAAACATAACTGCTACCTAATGAATTTGCAAATCTAATTTATAACAAAGGCATTTATTAAAAACTATTTTTAACTGGAGAAAACACGTTTTAACTAAAATTCGGTTTTAACTATAACATTGGAATTAGGAATACATTTTATAAATAAATAAGTATGCATTCCAAGTTTTAGTTTCAACTAACTTCTCAAACTCAGCAAACTCTTCGTTTAATATGGCTCTTTAAAGCGGTAGTTGTGCAGCCTATTACCGAGTATATTTTGTCACACAATATACATCTGGCTGCTTAATCATCAATCTCAAAATAATAGTTCCAAGCAGGACTTGTTTTTGGCTTCATGAATGCAATTAAATTACACTACTTAAATTACTAATTAACTAAAAATACAATAAATCTATTTATGTGGATGCGTCGCTGAGTTTCGTTCAAAATTCCGTTATAAAACTTGCGGAAACAGAAGCAGAAACGGATGTTAAAAACCACGCAGAACTTCTGCAGTTGCGGAAACGGAAACAGAGTTCTGTTGCATCACTACATAAAATACGAAGAAACTTTTTCCTTGAGCTTATATGTGTGAGTTGTCATGTGTATAGAGAGTAGTCCAGTATGAGTGAGTGCAGGTATTTATGTTTGAGTGAGAGTGTGTGCGGCGAGTAGATCTCGTGCGGTAGGTGTACCTTGAGGCGCGGCGGCTGGGCGGGCGGCGGCTTGTGCGCGGCGTACTGCACGCCGGTCTTCAGGTGGTAGTTGATGACGGGCGCGGCGGGCCGCGGCGTGCGCGCGAACGCGCCCACCGACACCATGCCGCCACCCCCCACGCCCGCCACGCCGCCCACGCCGCCAGCCGACGATACACCTGCACCGGCACACACATGCAAATAAATACTACACATTTTTTAATTTGTTACTGAAAATTACAATAAGCAACAACGAAAAAATTGTTTATAACCTAATAATAGTTTCACGAATCTCTTTATTATATTATTTGTTTGAATAAATAAATTTTATGTTTAAAATACATGATAGTGTCAATTCATCCACCACCCTCTCCTGGTTTATTACACCAGCATGAAACAATACTAAAAAAAGGAACTTTTAACCTACTATTTTCATTGATCTTTTTCTTTCATTGGTCTTTGGCTCTATTAATTATCATAGTATGATGTTAGTGTATGTATGGTTTAACCTTCTAAAAACAGAACAACATTACAATTTTTTTACATAATATGAATATGCCGACTGTAGACTAGACAGAGCTATTGGTACTTACGATTGATGAGATATCCATCAGTTGTATCAAAAAACTATTTTATTCACTTTCGTTTTTGTAAAGACCTTGAAAAGGATAACGCTAAAATAAAATTGTGGAGATAAACCCTATACCTTTAAACGAGCAATTCTTATTATATATATATATATATATATATATATATATATATAATCTCGGAAACGGCTCCAACGATTTTCATAAAATTTAGTATCCAGGGAGTTTCGGGGGCAATAAATCGATCTAGCTAGTCCTTTTGTCCGTGTTTTCAGGAAGGTAAATTTTGACACTGTGTTAATAATCGTAATAACTCAAGTGGATAGCGAGCGGTCGCGAAATCGTAATGCCTTGGTTCGCGTCCTGTCTTCGGTCCGACATTTTACCTTTTTTTTTTCAAGTTACCTTCTTTTGTGAGCAAATCTATTATTTCGAGCCTTTCTTTTAGTATTTTTTAAAAATACGAAAATTTTAATTAAACTAATTGCACTCATGATTTTTTATTCAAATAACCAGTTCAGTTTTTTCTATTATGTCAATAAGATCAAAAAATATTATTAATGTAATTTGTATCCAAAAGTAATTAAAAAAAAAACCGAGCATAGCTCGGTCATCCGGGTACTCAATAGTAAACACGAATTACATTGAACTCTTCTATACTATGACAATGCTTGCCAAAATATAATTTTTTCATAAAAACGTTTTCCATTTGTATTCATTTTGAAATACAAATGGTGCTTGCTACAATTTTCTATCATTGCTTATATATTACTAGCGTAAGGAGACCGGGCCGACCGAACTACTAAAACGGACCAGTGCGCTGGCCCTAAAATTACAGTTTAGGGCCAACGCGAATCGGTCGACAGTAGTGCGCGCGCAGGACAGATTTGCCTGTAATAAATACACTCACCGGCACGGAAACTTGGCCACTCGTGAATTTGCTGATTATTTGCACTGAAACGTTTTTTTAACAGTAAATTAAGGGTAGATGCATTCAATAAGTGTCTCTAATGGTTTTAGAACATAGAAATTTAATGTTTACTTCACCGAAATTTTTCTTTTCAAGATAACATGTTTTCACTAAAATTAACATCTTTCCATTGTCACTTTAAAAACACTACAAAGTTAAAAATTAAGTCTGTTTCTTTATTGTCTATCAGTTTTAATATCGGGTGTTTCCTCCTCTAGCCCTGATAACCGCTTGCATTCGATCTGGCATGCTTTGAATGATGTTTCTGACATCAACTTGCGGTATGCTGTCCCAAGCGGCCAGCGCTGCATTTCGGAGCTCATTTAGAGTTTGTGGCGGTTTGGAGCTGGACTTTATCTTTCTTTTGAGCATACCCCATACTTGCTCAATTGGATTTAAGTCCGGGCTACGAGCTGGCCACTGTAATTTTTGTATTCCAACCTCTTCCAGATATTCCTCTACACAATGTGCGACGTGCGGGCGTGCATTATCGTGCATGAGGAGGAATTGGTCGTGTCCAATGAATCCCGAATAAGGCATTACGTGCTCCTGAAGAACTTCCTCGATGTATCGAGTAGCTGTAAGCCGATTATCGACGATGACCAACTCTGTACGTGCGTCGGAACTTACACCTCCCCATACCATTATTGAGCCTCCATGGAAACTCACAGTTTGGGTGGTGGTAATGGGTAGAAACCTCTCTCCTCTTTTTCTCCACACTCGTTCTCGACCGTCTGGAGCACGTAAAGCTATTCGACACTCATCTGTGAACAACACTCTAGCCCATTGCTCGTGGGTCCAATTGACATGTTCTCTTGCGAACTGAAGTCGGGCTACTCGGTGCTGTCTGAGAAGTTCTGGACCTCGTGCTGGTCTACGAGCTTTTAAATTCACTTCCTCCATTCGTCTTCTCACCGTATGCTCACTAACATTAACGCCTCTTGCGATTTGGAGCCGCTGGCGTATCTCAACAGCGGTCAGGTAGCGGTTTCTCAAAATCTCCATAACAATAAAACGATCGTCCCGGGCCGTATCGTTTCAGTGAATACTGCATTGAGGACCGTGGTACATTAAGCACAATAGCAACTTCACGCTGTGTCAGCCCTTGGTCAATTAATGCTACTGCTTGTGCAACTTGTGCTGGTGTTAATGGCATTTTTATTGGCTTTAAAGCACCTTTAGTTATTTAATTAAGACACAAGATCACAATAATTGAATAACCTTACAGTAAACTTTTTACAACACACAAATTTAAAATGTGAACTTAGTCGCTCAAATGACCCGATTCAACTAAAAATTAAAGAATTCGTCATGGTGCACTTAAACATAATGAATTACCCTCTTGAACTTGAGGGTAAACATTTTTTGACATACTTGCATAACAAACATTCATCAGAAACACTTAAAGCTTTTGCTATCGCGAGATAACCCCGTGCCGGTGAGTTTATGTCTAGTTGCGTGGTAAATGAATGCAACAATTACGAAACAAAGATTTAAAAAAAAACATGGGATATCGTATCATCGGTTAATAACCTTATATTAATTTTGTTACAATTAAATTATTATATAAACGCATTTTAAAGTTTTATTTTACAGTTAGTTTAGTTACGTTACCAAGATTAGGCCAGGGCTGAATTCAGACCCTCAAAACAATTTGTTCATGGAAATTAAAATTATACTATATTAAAAAAATTATATCACGTTTGACTTTTCATGTTTCTTATTTCCCATGTACCGGGATTTTGGCGTCACGCGTCTAGTTTATCTGTACGTTTCGTTTTTGAAGGTTTTATTTTTATTTGCTTAATTTTTGTCTAAAGAACTTAGTGTAAGTTAAATTTTGAATATTGAAACCTAATATATTTTATTTTCAATTAGGGTAAAACGAAAAGAGTACAAAAGAAACCATAACAACACACCATCAGTATGGCCGCCGTAGAGATCACAGCTTCCCCAATGAGAAATTCATCCTAAGAAGTGACTATTGCAGGCTTGTTGCTCTTACATGACAAACAAAAATTAGTAATTGGTACAAAAAAACATGCGTTTTATATTCTTAAAAACAGTATAGGAATATGCTGGTAGTCAAATTATGATTAAAGCTAATTATTCTGAAATAGCTAAAGTAATAAGGATATTAACTATACTGGTCATTGACCCAGGTAGATAATGGCTCACATTCACATATGAGTACATGTGTCTACAAACTACAGTATGAGATTTTGTTAGTGTTTTAGTGGCTATAGATTTAAAACAAAGACCAAAGTAAATAATCCTTATATTAATTGTTAATATTGGCCTTTTCAGGTAATTGTATAAATAGCTTCTAGGGAAGAACCAGCAAGAAGCCTAGTAGTACTTTATAATAAAATTAAAAATGTTGTACAATTAAATATAATTAAAAATAATAAAATTAAATATAATTAATAAGATTAAACAATGTACTATAAGGCAGACTTATAAAACTGAAAAAAAAAAAATTCCAAAATATAAATTTTAGGAATAAACTGCAAATAAATGCTTACCTTTAGCAATTTTTTGGGGAAAAGTGAACAAGTTCCTTAATTTACAGTAATTTAAAATACTAATATTGTAATATTAACTTTACCACTATGCCAGAAATTGTTGGCAAAACTTTGCTCAGAGGTTGACGAGTCTCAAAGTTTGGATTTACCCTGTCGTTTAACCAAGAGGTCAATTGACAGACTTAATTCGATTGGGCAATATTCGATAGATTACGAGACATCTTTTGGTAAAGATATTCGCAGCATAATCGTAATTGACATAGCCCAATGGACAGTAATCTGAGGGGAAATGTAGTTTGACAAACTAATAATCGATGTGGAAGAAAGGTTCTCGAGTGAATGTGAGGCCCAACTCTCAATGACAATGGATACAAAAAGCTTTTTGTGGAATTTCTTGGCAGAGGCCTATGTTCAGCAGTACACTTGCTTAAAGCTGAAATGATGATTAAACATAAACATTCTTGCTGATAAATTGTACTGACACAGAAATAATTACCTATAAAGCAGTATGAACTCACCAATAATTTGTGGCTGGGCAGATTGCGCCAGTGTATGCATGTTGCTAACGCCCGCCTGCTGAATCTGCAACAATATACAGACAACATGCTATTGTAGATATTGTGTAATAGAGTGCACACTGAAAACAGTTTCAACAAAATACCAGTTGCATGTTCTACATAATTACATTATTTTGTAAAACCAAATAAGAATTGCCTTCTTTTCTCTTATAAACCCTGATGATGCCATTAGACAGTCGGTTCTTATAGTTAGTAAATTAATAATTTAAATATTGTGAAAAAAGTACAAATGTGTATTAATATCACAAAAAAGTTACCGAAGTTTCACCAAAATTAACAATCACTTCCACACACAATTCTTCCATTTCTATCTAAAGTCCTAGAGAAACTAGTTTTTCACCAATTAAGTTTATACCTCAATAGAAATTGCCTTTTAAATCCTCTTCAATCTGGTTTCCGGTCAGGTCATAGTACAACTACAGCTTTGGTTAAAGTAACTGACAATATTCAACGAGGTATGGATAATAAACAGTTCACTGTGTTGGTATTATTAGATTTTAGCAATGCCTTCAATACCGTTGATTTTGATATCTTGTTAAGGCTGTTACATTCTATTAACATATCTCCATCAGTTGTTGGCTGGTTTCAAAGTTATGTTAGAGGCCACCGGCAGCACATTCATATTGAAGATATATTTTCATCTCAAGCTGGAGTGCCTCAAGGTGGAGTGTTGTCTCCTTTACTCTTTGCTATCTTCATTAATTCTATCTCTCAAAAAATATCTTCTCTCTATCACATGTATACAGACGATCTTCAAGAGTATATGCAGTCAACTCTTGAGGACTTGCCTACCGCTGTTTCTACCATCAGTGCTGACTTGGCGGCTATTAGCGAATGGAGTGAGTGCCATGGGGCTTAAGCTTAATCCTTGTAAGTCTCAGGCCATTATTGTGGGCAGTATTGGCATGATTTCAAGGCTTGACTGAAATAACTTTCCCTCGGTGGTATTGAATGGTGTTGTAATACCCTACAGTACCACCGTTAAAACCTTGGTGTCCACCTCGATGCTACTTTTTTGTGGTCTCATCAAGGACGTTAGTAGAAAGACTTTTGCTGCTATGTGTTTGCTCAGGCGTTTATGTTCTTTTCTTCCCATTCCTACTAAAATTATGTTAGCACAATCTTTACTCCTCTTTATTATCGATTATGCGGGCGCAAGCTATCTTGATTTAACTGAAGATCAACTAAATAAACTTGAGCATATTCAAAATCTGGTTATTAGGTTCATATTTGGTTTGCGCAAATATGACCGTGTCTCCGAATTTCGTTTAAAGCTCAAATGGTTACCCATCCGCCTTTACCGGAATCCACAAATTCTTTCTTTTCTGTACTGTATATTATTCAATCTAATGACTCCTAGCTATCTGAAAGAAAACTTTAAATTTCTTGGTCATGACAGATCAGATAGGGTTCTACGGTCAGCCGAAGAACTTTTACTCGCGCCGCATTATTATTGTACTACTTTAAGAATTCTTTCACAGTTAAGGCCATTTGCTTATGGAATGATCTTTCGCAAATTCGTCGCGAGCGAATATACACTAGATAAGTTTAAGACTGATGTTAAAAATCACTACCTAACTCTATAGTAATCACTGGTCATCATTTCCGACATTTAATTTTTGTATCCTGTCTGTATATATTTATGTAAATTATATATGTATATAATAGTGTATAAAATATTGTGTTATTATGTATGGGTTTACTTTATTTATGTTAGTAGAACAATTAGAACAATAAATACAAGTGTAAATTATATAAAAATGTATCAGCTTGATTAAACTGTATAAACATTGATATAGCAAGCATGAGGTAAATTAAGAGAATAGCCGATTTTGTTTTTATTAAAAAAGATTTAAAAAAGAATTGTTGGAATTATAAACTATAAGACAATAACATACTTTGATGACGTGAGAAGCAACAAAGGGAACCAAAAAAGTAAAAAGGCAGAAGCATCTTCCTAAAAATAACTTGAGGCAATTTCTGTTTACGGGTGGACTTTAGATATACACTTCAACAGTTACATACGTAATGAAATTACTTTAATAAGTTCATATTTACAAAACAAAGTAGTTCATCGAGAAATAATAATGAGGCATTGTATTTTTATTTGTAGGAGTTTTTCTTTTCATAGTTAAAACTTACCGTCTGTTAACAGCATTATTAAAAAACTACTAAATCTATTATTATATGTGGTAGAGCCTCTCTGCAGCTATAATATTATGGTTGTAGTATGAATGGGTTGGCTGGACTGGGCATGGACTCTGCCCTTACAGAAAACCAATGTAAAATAGCAGCTTAATGCTGACGTATTTTGTATGGTGAGTGTAGAAAACCCGAGACCCTTTTTACTAGAAACTACGCATTCTAGTCCCCTAGTAGGTTCATATCTTAGTCCCCAGGGGTTTCAATGCATCTGCAATTTGATTCTTAACTGAGGATAGATGTAGATGTCTACGGGCCACTGTCCATTAGGTGAACTGCATGCTCGCTTGTCACCCTTATAAAATAAATCAGTTTATAATAACAATAATAGAAATTTTGTGCATTTGTATTTTTTTTCTTCTCTCAGTTAAAAGTTCGCTTCTCTAACATATACATATTCTACCAATGTATCTACTAGTTAACCAGATTACTGAAGCACTGTTAATTTAAAATGAACTAATCTATGTGGTGTGAATAGACTTGTATGGACACTTGCGGCGCGCCGCACATCAAGTATGAACGTGCGACGCTTCCAATATCTAATTGATCTATCCCCTTGTACGCAGTTGTCAGATCTATTGCAGATCAGCAACGGGATTGGGGGGAGAGTATCCACCACAGACTTAATAATCACAAATAATCTAATTATTGAACTTTATAAGTTAAGTATTAGTTATTAGTAGATACACTAATATTCGAACTTTCTTTAGAAAAGTTTTGGACTGTACCAAAATGACCTTGGTCACTTTTGTTACAATTTGAACAGTTTTATAAGTTTTAAACTACTCACTATATATTCTTCATGCAATCAAAAGTCATACCACCTAAGACAATTATTTTTTTCATTTAAATTTTAAAAATGCACAATTCAAAAATATACAAATTTGATTTATCCAGGCAGATATTCCTATGTATAGTTTTGTGGAGGCAAGGTCACAATGGAATGGAGATAAAGCAGTCAATTGAGGACGCTGCGGTTTCTTTATATTTCAACTACTGATATAGACAATACAAAGCAAAATAATACAAAATACTTAATACCATATTAGACAGACAGCTTACAAAATAACATATTTCTATATAAATACCTATATGACAAATAGTAATAACTGTTGATTGCCGTTATTGTTGAAGCCCATAGATTGCTTTAAAGGGGGCATTGACAAGCAGGTTGACGATCAGTTTTTTATGTTGTCATAATTAGGTTTAGTTAGGTTAGGATTAGTCTAAATATTTTTCTTTAAATGTATATGGGATCACCTGTGATGTAACCTATTTAAATTAAAAAAAAAATAGTTAAGATCGATTTATCACTGGCTAACATGTTGACATACCTACAAACAAAACAGAACATAGGTAGTTTCAGTTTTATTGAGAATCTCCTTTGGAAGTCGACTAAAAATTACGTTCATTCGCTCATCGTCATTAATATAGTTCAGTTTGTATTATTCTAACAAGAATAATTTCCCAATTGTGCTATATGATCACTTCCGTTTCCATTCTTCTTATTCTATAACGGAAAACAACCCTTCAAGGATCACGATAGACAAGTACATACATTTTAGTAGTTGTCGAGGCAGCGTGGCTGACGGCTAGGCGCAGATAAACTACGACAATATCGCGCGCCAACTTGTGATTCAGTAGCAGTCTATTTATAGCAACACCATGGGCTTCGAAATATACTACAGATACGGCCGGAATCACGAAAATATTGCTTCAATTTGTAAAAATAAATAAGATTATACTAGTACTAGTAATATAAATTATAGTAATAGAACTAAGAATAGGGAAGGAAACAAGCCCCTGAAACACAGGTGTTATATCCTAGTTTAGGGGCTAATGACCACTGTAAATTTTATGCATGTAATATGTTTATCAATAAAGATTATTATAATAACTGCCAAGGATTTTTACCGAAAGAAAACGGCAATGTTTACTTTCAATTAGGGTTTAGCGTAAATGTCAATGCAAAAAAAGCAAAATGTAATATGAGAAATTACTAACTTATTTTAGTTCTACAATATATACTTATATATTTGCAATTTAAAATCTGATAATTTTGCCCATTTAATATAAAACAGTTTATTATTTTAGGTTAAAATCATGCTTTGACGTATATTTGGCGCCATGATTCCTTTTTTCCTTGACACATTTTTTCTTATCATAATGGAAACAAATTGTAGTAAGTCTGTGAGAGTTTATGTTAACTAACTCCAGTTACCACAGTTACATTATTTAGGAAATGTTTCGTCCTCTTCTGGTCTATTTTATTTACATATAAAGAGTACATTTTTAAAACGCATTCTAACATGTTATAGCTTCGAAAAGTTACAATGAACAATTTGTAAAGCGTCTAAAGTCGACCCATTATGTTGTACTGAGGTTTTCAATACTTTAATTCCATCCACTACAATTTTGTGTGTTTTTTCCCTTTGTCTAGCCTAGAAGCGTAACCAACCCTCGTTGTTATCTGTCGGAGGGATAGTATGAGGTAGGATGGGAACAAAGGAGCGGTTTCATTATGGACATTAGTGTAGGTGTATAGCATAAGTATAGCTAAGTGCTGCAGGCAGGCGCTGTTTACTTGCACACCTCGCGATACGGCTGATAACCCGTCGGTTGCGTTAACGCGATAACGTAGCCGCTTGCACTGTGATTACACTCATCACTTAAGCTTATTTGATTTTATAACGCTTCCTTAGAAAATAATGTATTTAATTTTGTTCATATGGGGAGAAGAAATTGTCCATGATGTAAACTAGGCTTTATTTTGCTTATTATCAATGCTTTTAAATATTCTTA